TTATGCATGTAATTAGATACATTGTTTAATATAATACAAATAATTATGCACACATATTGTGTCCAACCTATTCAGGTTGCTTGTGTTTTATGTTGGTCATTGTGTTAAACCCAGTTGTCTATTTGGATTCTGATGCATTTGGAGCTTCAGATATAGTGTGTAGCACTGCCATAGGGCTCAAACACAGAGTACCAAAGCTTCTCATTATTAACTGCTGCTTAACAAGTGTGTGTGTTTGTGTTGGGCTGATCTCAGGATTAACCCTAGCCCGACCTCTTTCTGCCCTTCACCCTGTAACGCCCCCGGACCAAAATGGATGAGCCGTTCTATGTGTGTGTATATAAACATGCACGTGTGGTATGTTGGTTTAAGTTCATTCTAAAGTGGTGCTTTGTGTCCTCTTCTGCTGTTGTCAAACTGATCATCAACCTACAAATGGAGATGGAAATGAGCAATATGCATCACTTGGCTGGTTGCATAGGGAAAGTATGCCTGGGTTAGCATACATAGCAGAGAAATAGGATGTTCTTTCTTTGCATTTCAATGCCCAGATGGCAGCTTGGACTGCAATCAACCACTACCTCTCTGAGTGTGTGAAAGGGGGGAAAGAAATGTACTTAAACTAAAGAAAGATGCAATAGCCACAAAGGCTGGGAGAAGGGGGGAAAGGGTGAAACACACATGGACACAGAGTGAGAGAGTGAGAGAGGGGTAAAAAGACAGCCAGCTGAATTCAGAGTGAAGGAATGAGGACTGAAGGGAGGAGAGGTGGAGAGGGAGAGCTTTATTTCCTGTCCTCCATGAATAGGCAACATATTTCTCTGGAACATTCCATCCTCTGAGCTGGCCCGGCCTGTCACCAAGACTCAGCCTGCCACACTCCTTCCAATCTCTTCATTTCTTCCTATTACACCCTGTCGCTCTTCGTTTTGCTCGTACATATCAACCTTTACTTAATTGTGGTGTTCTCTCGACTTCTATTCCTATTTTCCCTCAGAAAAAGTGAGCTAAACCTTACGTTTTTGGGTCTAAGCTCTGCTGAGCAGACCAGGGAAAGAAGGGTAAAAAGTAGAGTGAAAGTAGAGTAAACATCTACTGCTGCAAGGGAAAGGATTAGACATTAGATAACAAAAAGTAAAAGAATCCTGATGACATAATACTAGCGTGGGGTGTGGATCAGTAGTTACATACAGTAATATGTGATGGATTGGTATTGAAAGGACGAATGGATTAAACTTGATTACATCAAACTTTGATAAAAGCAGCAACTGATTACAGGAGAATCAAAAGATACATTTAGAAACTTGCAGAGTCTAGTCATGAATTGCAATTATAATTGGTAAATGGAGAGGCATATTTGGTCATGGAAAAAATAACATGGTATGCTTCTTCTGGTCAGACTGTGTTTAAAATGGACTAACAAAAGTCTGTGTTGTTCAGTAATGTCTATTTTGTTGCATCTTCCCGATTTGAACCTAACCACAATCCTAATTTTAACCCTAACCCATATAAACCACATTTATATCAATTGACATTTACAGTCACTTGATTGTTGGGCAGTAATGTCAAAGTCCTTTTTTCAGCTTTGTGGATGGGCAGCTGGTCAAACATGCCCTTCCAGAGACAGTTAATCTCACTGGATTTCCAAAGTGCTCTAGATATGTAAATATGAAGCAACCGCTCTGGGTGGGGAAACGACTTGGAACTGGCTGGCTGATGATGATAACGTGTCGGTCGTGGGAAGAATGTTATTCAGACGTCCTGTTTGACTGTAAGATCCAGATGCCTGCAGGAAAGTGGGAAGTAAAGGACACTCTTTCCTACAAAGGGCAAAAGTGTTTTAAAATAGAAAGTAGTTAATATTATCACCTTGTGGTGACACACAATAGCTAAGACTGCTAAAAATAGAAAAAATTATGTTCTATTTAGGTGATAAAGCCATCAGCTAAATGGGAAGGGTTTAATATTTATTAGTGTTTTTTTATGGCCAAAGGGGGCAGAAAAATGTTTTCACACACAAGTTGTCATTGTTAAAATGAGCCTTCCTACGTATATTTCTATTTAAGCACACTAATTCACTTATATGTTACGATTAACTCATCACACAGTTTAAATGGATGTGAGCAAGCAAGTCAAGCATCAGTGCTTTTGAGATATTAGCCGTGAAATGTGCATCTGCACACTGGAGTTGTTTTGATATGATGTCCTTGGCTGCTGCTCAATCTCATTCCTCACTCAGACATGTACACTTCTTAAACACACGTACATTCCCATGTGCGTACTAATAACACACTGCTGTACAAACTAACACACGCAGTAGTCATGCCTCTTTTAACATGTTCAGTTTTACACAAACACCCCCTTCAAACACAGACACACACTTTCCTTTCCCACCCTTCCTCCACCTCCCGTCTTCCTCTCCTCCTTTTGTTCTCTCCCTCCCCGGAAGGAGGGTGAATTGGACCTTGCTCATATATTTATTGAGAACTGCTTATTTTACAATGTGACTAAATGATTCACTCAAGGAAGTGTTGCGCTGGTTGAGTTCGATCGAAGCTCTTCCGTTTGTGAAGGCTGTGACTGTTTAGTGCTGTTGGGTAAATCCCCCCCAAAACACAGCTGGTGTCACTTTGAGAGGCCCGGAAAAACAAAGTATGTCTGTGTGTCTGTGTGTTACGCTGTGTTTCAGATGCAATGGCTGAAAATCCAACGCAAATGTTGTGATACAGACGTGAGAAGTGACACTGCCAATGCTCTTGTGTCAGGACTGCATCAACGTGTGCCTTTGATGGAATGTGTGTGGAGTGTTTTCAATGCTTCTTTCTCCTCAGCTGCACTAAGATTGAATGGAGGAGGGTCTTCATAGAGAAGACACACCCCTTTTCCCCAAATACAGAAGGCAACATGGGCTCTTAAAGTGACAGATGTGTGTAATATAACAGAAAGACCTGAATAACAGTGCTGCTTGAGAGCAGGAAGTTCCTTTTATTACAGTTGTACAGAAGGGGCTGGGAACCAGGCCTGTTTCACAAAACAAATATTGCCTCATTTTAATCTGACCGTATCTCTCTGTCAGTGTTTCTACCTCTATCTATTTTGTTGTCTGTCTGCCATGCCTCCTCCCCTCTCTCCCCTCTACCCACATCTCTATGTTTGGAGGTACACAGCTGAAGCTTATTGTTGTTTTTCAATACCTCCATATATGCTCACTTCTGCTGTTCCAACGCCCACACAATAACAACTGTGACAACTTCCTTACACTTCTATACGCTGTGCCCATATGTGTGCACAAGCATAAATCAATTTCTCCATCAGCACAGCATGCAACACCCTGTGTACTAAGACGGTGGATTTGTTTAAAGTGGACCTATCATGGTATATTTAAATGATATATTATAGGGCCATACCTATATACGGTATATTTATACGTTTCTGTTTTCAAAATACCAAACAGATCATGCATTTTAGCCATGCCTCATTTCGCTCAATTTGCACTTTTTTTAGCTCTGCTCTGCAAGGGCAGATTCTGTGATAACAGCACCACCTACAGGCCTGGCATATGTACTACAGCGTCTCCAGCGCTTTCGAACGGCAATGGCCGTGGCCGTCTCCTCCTGATAGGTGGAGAGTTGGCCCAATAGCTGTAGCGCCACTGTCCTGACGTCAGGACAGTGTTCAAATCTGGATCAGTTTTTATCAGATCCGTTGCAGCCCCTTTTTTTAGAGATTTGGGTATGGAGGAAAATAGAGAGGGTTGTGTTTTCTGACACTTGGTGAGTTCCCTGGAACACCGGGGACACATGTTCATGTATAAAAGACGTACAAAAGTGCATTTTGCATGATAGGTCCCCTTTAAGGGAGAACTCCTGAAAACGACATACATAACATAGATAAGCAACTGTGGAAACAGACGGAAACTAAGCAGGAAATAGACGTAGATAAGGGGTCAGAGAAAAAAGACAGTGTCTGAAACATATAGACACAGAGCTATCAATAGTTTTTTTTCACATATCTCGACCAGCACACATCTGATAACAAGTGAACTCTGGTTCCCTAAATAAGAATAAAGACTAACCAGGGAGGTTTGTGTCTGTAACAAGAAGGCTGGGCGAGGTTGTGTGCTAAATATGTGTTCTTGACAGCTCTTCAAGTATGTTCTGTTCACAGGACTTTTAACTTGTGGAATCTCCACCCACAATGTGTGTGTGTTTGTGAGTGTTAGGTGACTAGTGTGAAGCACTTGCTTGCACTGTGTGTACTTTAACCACATCACTCTGTTCAAAATAGTTCTTGCCGAGTCAACATGCTGTTCCTTATTAGCTCACAGATGGCAACATACACACACACAGACACACACACACACACACACACACACACACACACACACACACACAGACACAGAAACACACACACACAGCTGAGGGCTGCTCCTGGTACTCAGCTGATAAAGTTTTTCACATGCACTTCATTCTGTATCTGTAGACCAGCAGCAGATAAGCCTCCTGCTTTTGTGCTTGTGTCGTGCTGCGTACATTCCAAGCAACACACAGAGAGCTTTTGTGTGTGAGCGAATAAGACAGCAAAGGAAGGGGGAGGTGGAATTGCATAGATGTTTGCATCTTTATTCTCTGAGCCATTAACCTCTTTTTATAAACTGTTGTTCTTTAACTAACACAGACACACAATGAGAAGTGATAACACAAGTTCAAACACTATACATGCTTGAAGCTGTAAAGGACACACACTTACCACACAAACACACACTTCGTTTGATCAAAGTGCTGTTTGGTCTCCATCTCTACTTCTGCACAACAGGCCGAGCAGGTGGGCGGGGTTTTGGTTTCCTCCTCCCCCCCCTCTTTCTCTCCCTCCCCCTGGCCAATCAGGACCTCAGCCTTTACAGCTGACCCCCCTTTTCTCCAGCCAATCAGCTGTCAGCCCTTTCTTCCCCCTGTATGCCTTCACTGCTGAGTGAGCAAAGCACGCCTAGCTCTATCAGCTGAGAGGAAACTACAGAAAGCAAACACAGGCCAACTGAAATAGAGAGAGACAGAGTGTAGTGAGAAAGGGTGAGAGGAGGGGCATGTAAATAGATAGAGGCAGAGAGGAGAGGGTGAAGAAGAGGAGGAATGGGAGGAGAGGAAAGGGGGAATGCTCGCCTGTGAAGGGGCTTTTGTATTCAAGATATTTTGGAGGGGCGCGAATGAGAGAAAGGAAGAAAGAGGGAAGGGGGAGCTTGAAAGAGAAAAGGAGAGGGAGGGAAACGGGGAGATGGGTGAGGGGGGAGAGTTGTTGATGGGTTTTCAATTTGTGTGACTGAGGGTGGAGAGAGGTAGACGGGAAGAAAACAAAATGCAGAGACACAGAGAGAGAGTGCAGGCTACAGAACAGAGTGGGGCAGAACAACTTGACTTATCTCCGTCTTTCTCAACACCACCTATTCAGGAGGAAGGAAGCAAAGAGAGGCAACAAACCCGAGAGAGTTGGCAGAGAGAGCAGCAGTGGAAATAGAAGCACAGGAGTACAGAAAGAAAGGCAGCCCATCCAGCCACCAAACTTAACAGAGGGAGGAAGGAGAGAGACAGTGAGGGAGACGGCAAGATAAACCCCATCCTTCTGAGAGGGTGAGTGCCACAACTTCTCCTGCTGTCAAGCCAAAGTGTAATGTTGCTCCTGTCATAGTGTCAGCTGGGCTCAACGTCTCCTAAAATGGCCACATGAAAGGCAGACAGAGGGGGAGGAGGGGGGGGGGGAGAAAGGGTCCCCGTGTCAAACAGCATTCTCAGCAACTATGTCCCTGAGCCAGCTTAGACTGCACGAGCACTGTATGTGTGTTTGGTGTCAACACTGACGCTCTGAGGTTTATCAGTTACAGTCAACTTGTCTCCTGTCACTCTCTGCTCTCGATGGTTGCTTCCTGTCTTCTGACTTCTGACTCCAACACACTCTCTTTTTCTCTGACACACACATACACAGTCTGCTGTCATGCCCTTCCCTTGTGACATCATTTTTTCTTTACTCTAGATTGCTCCTATAATCTAATCAACCGGTTGCAGGAGCAACTTTTTTTAGTGTTACAGAATCTGCACACAAGTGTCTATGTTTATCAGCCTCCACGCACAGCACAGGCCTGGGAGTAGGTCGGGCGGGGTGCAGCTAAAAGTTGATGAGACAATCGTGGCATTTGGGAGGCTGCTAACTTCACAGTGACGTTATCATACGGTATGGGCGGGGACGTAAAGGGTGGACTGAGGACACGAGGAGTTCAGGGTGCAACTTCAAACAAGCTCTTTATAAAAGGCTGATTCAAGATGATGAGTTTGTCATTGATTGAAAATAGGTTATTTTAATTCATCTCTAAAGGGATTGAGATTTAACCTCATCCAAAAGCAGAATGCTGACAAATCCCCTTTCTCTGTTGTAAGGGATACATTGGGCAAAAGGAAATAATCCACCAAGTTTGGGTATTGATACTAAGGGACATTAATTGGCTAACACAGTTGTGAACCACATCTTGTTAGTAGGACATTTAACAGACGGTTGCCCTTGAATTGGTATGTTTTTTGTTTGTTGGTAAGGATACCAACATTTAAAAAAATAAGCACAAGCAGACAACCTTAATTTTCAAATCACTGTGGCAATGCATCAGGTTTCAGTGTCCCTGAAAAGCTTTGTGCCTATGTGGAAGAATATATAAGAAATTAAAAAATAACAGATAACACAAGTGTCAAGTATAACCTAGCATTTGCAATAATTCAGCCTTGCAATTTCTAATCTACAGTAAGAATTATTCAATTATTTATTTTACTATAAGATCTGAAAAGTAGTTTTTTGGATGCTGTGAATCTACAGTACTACACCTGTATAATATAACTGATTATAATGTGTGTGTGTGCAGCATCTGGGTGTTGTGATAAGTGTACACAGGCCAAAATGTCAAGGTACTTTCCGAAGGTGCCTATACATTTCACAGAGAGCTGCCTTCGGGGTCAGGGCCGTCCTCATGTGACAAGTCTGTGTTTAGTTGTGTGTGTGTCAGTGTGTTTCATTCCAACCATCTGCAACTTTTTACAGGAAGCCACACGGTCTTCAGGGTACTTTTGTCTGTTGTGCAGATGTCTTTGCTTAACATACTGATGTTCCAGTTACCACTCCAATGACTGAAGAGTGTCTGACTCTAACAAGCTGTTAATAGGCTGTTTGGTGAAACTAACCCAGTGTGTGTGCAAATCATTGGCCACATGTAGATCAGCAGCTTGTTTGCCTCTGAGTTTGCCTTTAACCAACGTCCCCTGAATCAACCTCTCTAAAGATGACGAAATGAAACGCATCTGGTCCTCCTAATGTGCCACAAGTCATCTGACCCAATACTTTTGGCCTTTGACCTCATGACCACAGCTTTCCTTTCCCTCAAGGATCACACTGATTTTTTCTTTTTAAATACAACTAAGCAGCTAAATATCCTCCTTGAAGGACATGAACAAAGTGTTTGAGCTCCACAACAGGCTTCAGGCCTCTCCTCAGGGCCCAGGCACAAGTTCAAAGAACTATAGGTGGTGGATGTTGACTGTTGCATTGCCTGCATCTTGGCCAAAAAGTTGCCCTTGAACACATCATAATCACTAATGCTAAAGGCCAATAGTCGTTTGTTCCTCGTCTGCGTGAGAGGAAATATCTTCATACCACCCGCAGCAAGATTTCTCACTTAAAAAGGGAAAAGGGAAGACCTAAGATTACAGACGAATACCTTATTTGCCGGCCATTTACCCAGTAGATCTGTTCACCCCTAAGCTTCATTCCTGATGGCTTTGTCATTGTGAAAATATCCGTGTATTAGAATGATTAGTGGAGATGAGGATGATAAAAGAGCAGAGCCTCCGTGTGAACGCTCTTTACTTCAGTCATTTGCTTGTTTTCATCATTTCTGATTCTCTGACTCGAGCATTGATTAGCTTAAGCTTAACAGCCATCAGAGTAATTGCTCTCATTGACTGGCTATTCTTCTGACTTAATATATTGAATCGGACAGAAAGCCGCAGACGAAGGGTTCTTTTATTAGAATGCCCATGGGAACTTAAGTGTTTGCGCCAGGTAATGCTACAATATGATTTTGCAGTCCAATCGGATTTTAGACTGCATACACATTTAATAAATATGTTTATTGTTTTCTTAGTGTAATTATCCTGGAAATTCATTTCCCATTTCAATGCTACTGAATGCATGTCGCTCATTATGATTATGAGCTCTGCTTAGCCCAAGGCAAACTGTACGTACCTCTTTTTAATGCATTTTGTATTGGTCCAATTCTCCACTTCAGTGAATCTTTATTTCATTGTGACTTTGTGCCCAGAAAGCCTCTCTCTCTCTCTCGCACGTACGCACGCACGCACGCACCCACACACACACGTAATTCCTCGCAAAAAACAAATAAAGAAATAGAGCAAATCCTCAAATGTGAGCATTAAACAGGACTAGCTTCAGCGTATTATCCTGTGTTTTCTGTGGGTTTCTCAATGAAAGCATTTTTGTGCCCTTTAATTCAATCATAATCAATTGTTTAGCTCTGCTTTTCGCTGAAGCAGATCCTTTTTTAATGATTTTTTCTTAAACTGAAAACTGGGTACGTCTTCATTTTTATGCTTTGTGCAAACAAGCCTCAGCCCTGCTGGTTTAGATACTGAAGCTATGAACAGTCTCATGTTGGCCTTGACACTGGCAAGCTCTACCTGCTGCTGTTGAAATGATGCCTTCCCCAAGGTCTTTGGCTGGGCTGTAGTGTCTCTCTGTTCCTCTCATCCTCCCTCCTTCTGTCTCTCTCTGGGTGTTTCCCTCTTGTCAGGCGTTTATCATTCCTTTGTCTGTCATATCACCATTTCAGCTCTCGCTCTCTCTTCATGGGTGATTGCTTAATGCAGATGTTATGCATTGTCTTTCAATGATGTGTAACATCTTCATGCTTTATGTCAGCAGAATTCAATAGGAATATAAGAGGAATTTTGACGATCATTTATATATTTTAAATAATAATAGCTATAATTAATAGCTTTTAGAAGGAAATGTAACGATGTTATATAGACAAAAAAAAAGGAAACTACCCATATTGACTAAATTAGTTCACTGAAGTGGCAAGAAGTAGGTTGGTACTGTGCAGGTATTTTTTGCCTAAGGATGCAGGATGGGAGTGTGAGAATGTTAAACAATGTTCAGAAATGCAGTAATAGAGTTCTAAAGTTCTCAAGCCCGAGCTGGCACTCATGCCCAGCAACTTGAAGCCTATCTTGGGGGGAAGCCAGAGTTTTTTTTCCCTCCTCTGTTGGCTCCTGGATCAAGCCAGAAAAGGGTTGGGTAGCCAAGGCCAGCCTCCTGCTCAGCGAGTTCAAAACAAGTCCAGAAATCAAGAGGGACCGAGCACAGAGCCTTTAGGATCTCCAGTGAGCTATGACATAGGCAATGACTATAAATAATCATTGCTGACTCTTTCATTCTTTCCCCATCCCCCACTCCATGTCCGCCCATGGATGCTTGCTCTGGAGACTCCACCTGTCTTCAAAAAGAGAGAGGAGAGAGTGTCAAAACAAGAGGAGGGGATTCCTCACATTGGGTTAATTGATCTTTATTTGACTTGGTAATGAGTTTATCCAGGTATCCCTGTTTGACTGGGGTACTTCTGGTTCAGCCTAGGAGTTTCCCCCATCCCAAAAGATATCACTCAAACAATCATGTTTACAGGACGTGTCTTCTAAATGTCCTGTTTAAGCAGCAGTTTATACGTGACCCTTTAATGTTTTCAGAACTTAAAGTGATACCTCCAAGTTTCCTCCTTTTTAATAGTTGCCTAATTCCAGTTGAAGTGGCAATTTCATAGCATTTAGGCAATGAATGTTAGTTTGAAGTTAATATTACAATTATCAATGAAAAGTATTTTTTCTTAGATTGTTTGCATGACTTTAAAATTAGATTTGGTTGTTTACATTTTGGAAGAGGCACTCAAGTCTGTAGGTCTGTTCTAGCTTTGTTGTGTTGCTAATGGTAGCGTTGTGACTGTGTATGACTGCATTGGGACCATATGTCTTGTGAGTCATTAAAGGCTGCAAAGGCTTTACTCCTGGCATCGTCTCCATGTGATTCTTTGTTTGCATTATAGCATTCTTATCTGATGACATATACCATTATACTTATAGGTTATAATGTAAATAGGGGGGAGGGTCGTCCATTTCTACTTCCCCTTTTATGTTCCTGTGTCTGGATCCTTCTCATCCTTCCCTCTTGTTGAAGTTGTAGACTTTTATATTGTCACGAATACATAGAAAATGTAGTTTAGATTTTCAGATTACTAATTTAAACATTGTACCGAAGAATGTAGCTACCACCTGTAACCTACTTAGTTTGACCTTTACTTGTATAGCAATTTGAGGATTGTATTCGCCTTACCGGGGATGTTGTATACATTTCATCATACTGATACATTTCAGGTGGGTTTGTAATGGAAAATACCACTGAACAACTGTCATAATATACATTTCCTTTTTTTAACCAGTTTTGTTTCCTCTTGCTTGATCGTTTGCCTTATTTCATCACTTCTCTGTAAGCAATGGTTATCTTTTGCGGTTTCGTTATGATGACTCAAAAGGAAATGGAAAGTGTAGTAACTGGTTTCTGTAATGTAGGTATAAATGGGAACCAACTGTATTTCCTTTGGTTACTGATTTATAGAGGTGCCAGCAGGGTATATGAACAGGCCCTTATCACAGCCTGTTGAGATTTTTGGCTTGCTGTACACACTTCATAAAGGACAGCCATTTTGATAGATATTTTCTTAGAAGAGCATCTTTGCCGGGCTTCCACTGCCCCCCCGTTGTTGAACACCCCTTCACTCCCCCTCTCTCTCTAGCTCTGCTTCTCCCTCTTTTTTGTGGCCAAGCACAAAGGAGCCGTTATCCTTGGGCTACTGGTTGTCATAGCGACAGTTCACTGTGACCCCCCCCAAGTTCTGGTCCAAGCCAACTGGGTCGGGAAAATATTAACTGGCATCTAGAACTGGAACAATCAACTGTCTTCTATGAGAAGCTCCTCCATGTTTGAATCCTAAACCCAAGGTGTTGAGGCTATTACTAAAATGAAAATAAAAATGGTAATATTTCTCCCTTGGTTGACTTGTTGAGTACTGAGGAGAAGATATTGATTATACGATTCCTTAATTTTTGGTGTTTTTCTTCTGAGTCAACTAATAAAACATTTAAAAAAAGTGTCCTTTGAACAATAAGTAAAATTAGCTGACTGACTGATATGATTTTTTTCCTTACTTTCTGTCTCTTCAGTCACACTGCGTGGAATGACCCTGTCATGATGCCAAAGCCGTGCCACACCCCACGCCCAGGGGACCAAGGAGGGCGTGTCTGGCTATCAGCCATCTACAGAAGGAGCCCCAATAGAGTTATTTCTGATTCCAGTTCAGAGATATTTTATCTCAAGAGCCTCCTGCATTACTGACCATCTGCCCCTCTGGTAAGTTTTAGCCTTGAGGTTTTATCCTTCTTGAACAAATGAACAAACACAGTGCGTGACTTTACAACACCAAGTTGTTGGTTGCTCGTAACTTCTTATGGTTGAATAAGTTATAATGATTCATGCATCCAATGGGTTTGACAAGTGTTCATTTATCTGGCAATGATGCATTATACATAAAAACGCTGTTGTCACCGCAAATCATAAGCTATAATATATCATGTTGTTAAGTCATTGTGTTTAATTTGTATTGGTAAATCTCTTTATTTCTCTTCAGGTCGTAGCCTCTTTGCACATCTCCTGCTTTCTCCGGAGTCTTTACCGTTTCCTGATTACCTACCCTGGTATGTTGGCGTTGTTTTGTGGCTGCTGCCATGGAGATAAACAGACTTCTTTAGTACACCATTTCAGAGACAACCTCCAGATGTTGTGCCAGATGCAGGTTGTCCAGGCGGGCATGATTAGACAAGGACTGGAACATAGGTAAGATTCTGATCTCGTATATTGTCTTTATATGTTATTGAATTAGACAGCAGACTAATTTATGCAGTCAAAGAGCAATATTTTACTACTTTTTTTTTTAAAGCTGAAAGGTCCCAAATGGTGGTTAGATTTAATGTTCAATCAAACCATGTCCAATGATATGAGTATCTAATTTCCTTTCTGAATTTGTAGCAATATTCTTTTCTCAGGCTATACCTTGTTCAGCTAACATTATGACATGGTGAGGTCATGGCATAATCATTCAATTTAAATCATTAATGTGGCTTTACAACTTTCAAAATTAAATGACCTGTAATAAATCATATCAATAAATGTTCTCACATAATTCTTGCCAGCTTAGAAAAGTCTCAATGCGTTCTTGTCCTTTTTTAATTTAATCATTCTTTTGTACGTTTACCATTACTCATATACAGTCTGCCTGCCATTTGTAATTGCTTTGTAGAAAACTGTCCTGAGTAATGCTGTAATTTGTTCCTCTCAGGTGCTGTGTGGCTCAGCTTCATAGTTCACATTTTTTGACGACATCACAGCAGGAATTATAGGACTTCCTATTCCTGTGGAACATCTAACTCCGCCTCCTGGCACCTGTGAGGCACTACTTCACCCTATTGCAAGTTAATCAAGAATCTTATTCGCCAGAATAGAAACCATGCGGCACATTCACGTCGAGTTAGCCCACAAAAAGGCTCCATTAGAGCTTCCAGCCCAGGAGGGGGACCTGCCTCCACCGACAGCCCCAACACAGGGCCTAGACCCTGGTGTCAGACCGGGGGCACCCAGGCATTTTGGCCAGGAGCAGTTGCGGCTCCAAAAGGTCTACCAACTCTCCATTTTCTCCCAGTTGGGGGGATTTTCTACCTCCACAGAACCCCACACTGATACCCAACAGAGGCATGTCCGGTTGGGCGTCAAAAGGGGGCTAGAGGAGCCCCAATTGACTCATAAGCGCCCCCACCTGGGGGATTCCTCAGACAAAGAAGCGTTAGAGGAAGGGGTGCTGTGTGGGCCAGCCCCAGCTCAAGGTGTTGGGATGGGGTTAGCAATGGGCCCTGGAGGGCCTGGTTCTGTATACTCTTGCACACAGATGGAGCACAGAGACTCTGAGGGGGGACTCTCACCCAGGTCTCCACCCCTCTCCCCAAGCCACAACCCCTCCCGACGCCCAACTCAGCACAATCATGACAGGCCCATTCCTGATGTATTTGCTCCACTCTCACCTAAATCCCCCCCAATGTGTGACCCACATGGACTTCTTTCTGACCAGGGCCATGCCTTTGGTAACTCGGCAAGGACTGATTCACCTAACGGGGGCCACACACCCACCTACTCACCAGGCAGCCCTGCAAATGAGAACTGTGGTAATGGGAACAGCTTATCTGGAGGCCAGCCCAGCCCACGCCTATATGACATGTCCACATACGAGACCCCCAACCCTGCCAGCCCCACCAGCCCTCCCGGGCCTTTCTCCCCCCCACATCACACAGAGTTGCAGGAGCCAGGGGAGGCCACCGAATGGGATGTTGGACTTGAATCCTCCCCACCTGAGCGAAGTGCAACCCAGACTGCCTCCTCATCCTCCAACGGCCTGGCTTCCTTGGAGAAAACTCCAAGCAGTAATGGCCACCGCTTGTCCTCTGGTGGCCACTGGCCAGCCAAAAAGAGGCTGCTCTCCCCAAGTGACACTGGGGACTCATGCTCAGAAGACGAGGGACCCTCCACTTCCAAGAGAAGCAGGCTGTCATTGCTGGCTCCAGGACTTGGCCCGACCTCCTGTCGCAGCACTGATTCTAAAGCTGCCCCATATTGGAACCACCTGCTGCCCTCTGCATGGGACCGGCCTAAGGTCAGCACACTCACATACTTTTTTCTTGAAATGTTCTTTAAGTAATTTGAAATGATGAAATCGCATTAGTCTGTAGTTTCAACTGGGGTACTAGCGAATAGCAAATGTTAGCTATTATGCACTGGCTGTGATTACAGGACAGTAACACCAATGGTAGAAGTAGCTACTTTACAAGCTAGCTTAGCATATGATGTACAGTTGCAAACAGAAAAGTTCTTCCTTCTTGATGACTCTATTTCCCCACCAGAATATAAATACCACTGGAAAAAAAGCTCTAGGCGACATTGAGGCAGAGTACATTAAAATAGCATGTGGTCATTCACATGCAAATCGCATGCTTTAAGACAAAAAACATTTACACCACTATACACAGAGGCTTCTTAAACTTTAAATACAGGATAAGGAATGGCCGCCCAAAGTCGGTGGTTGATGCTAATACATCTATGAGCCTTGACAGCCCTGGAAAAGAGGCTGAGGCCTAAATAAAGAGAAAGAGAACGGGTAATGTGAAAGAATGAAGAGATGGCCGGCTCATGATCACGCCACACTGGAACAGGCTGAGTAGCTCCAGAATGAAGCTCATTGAGGGAGGACCCATTGTTCCCCCACATGAGTGTGTCACACACATGCAGACACATAAATACACACAGAGGCACACACACATGTACATACATGGTGCTTAAAAATGGTTCTGGAAGTGAATTGGCCATTTTTTAACATGGGAGTGTGTGTTTGTTGGGTGGGAGTATGATAACAATGACAATAGGGTTCACTAGTTCACTAGTTAGGTGGTGGGCTCAGTGCGGTTAGAGGTGTTGTGTGTGCAGGTGTGTGTTAGAGAAGCTCAGAGAAAAACAGATAGATCCAAGGAAGACTCAAGGACACACATAGGGACAAAAAGGAGAGTGAAAGTTAGAGTTAAATTAAAGGATAAAAGAAAAACGGTGTAAGAAAGGGGAGACGGAAGGATATTCTAAAATGCTGTATGTGGTTTTGATTGAGTTTGAGGATACGGCGGCAAGCTGACAAAGAGCTCCAAGCTTTGTGGAGGGCCAGTGTAGTCAAGGGTTTGCTAATACAAACAGGCTAATAATGAGTGAAAGGTTTGCTGTGAGCAAATGGCTAGCAGGTAGCATAGGTTTGGCTAGTGGAGAGTCATCTGACAGTTGTGTGGCCTTTACGATGAACGGCAGCCTGGAAATGGGGAATGTCTATGTGTGTGACGCAACATCTAAAAGTCAGTGCTCAGTAAGTAAGAGGACAACTCAGATACACATACACATTACACATATACAGTAGTCTCATAGGAACACAGTAAAGACGTACGTATGACATATACTTAAATGTAATCCTTTTTGGAGTATCTTTACTTTTTCTGTTTTCTGTTTTTCTTTTGTGGATTTCAATCAAAGTTCTTTTAAGTTACTTATATTATTTTGGGAAAAAAGTAATAGTTTCCTTTTTTTATTCTCTTTGCTCAGACCGCAACAGATTGCACAAGATCAGGGAGAAGACTAAAAAGTGGACTGCGGCTGAAAAGGTGAGTTCTCCATCATATCTACACAGTTTCACCATTTTATTAAAATAACATTAAAGTGGCAAGATTTCTAAAAAGGGATTTAAATGTTTTGAGATTTTAAGAACATGCATTGTATAGATAGGATCAGTTCAATGTCAGTCAGACTTCAGCAAAGTCAACTCAGGAAAGAAGGTGGGAGTTAGTCCCTAACCCTAACCCTAATTTGATGTTATTCTGAATTTAAGTATTTCTGTCTGGACTTGAAAACTCAGAGGCACGTGTTGTTTGAGAGAAAATTAGTATAATCTGTAACACCACTAACCACCGGTCTGTTTTGTGTGTGTTTGTGGTCACATTCAGTCGGCAGCTGCGCAGCGGCAGACACACAGACACCAGCCGCTCCACACGCTCCACCTGGCCCTCATCTTCCATCAGCAGATCGCTACTCGGCAACTTTGAGGTACACATTTTAAACATTATTTAAAAAAACGTCAAGAAACATCAGTGACTGCAGGTTGAAGATGGTGACAGAAAGACATGGCAGCAAACCCAAACAGTACACGTGGAGCCGGGTAGTCTTGGTTCTTCCTTGTCGCCACGTATACAATCTGATGTAATTGTAACTGTTCAACCATTACATTTAACTTTTTATGAAGTATATATTCTTCAATCTTTAGTGACATTGTCAGAAATTTCTAAATTCAAATGTATGTTGAGGTCAGTGATAAAGAAGATAATGCAGTGGACTACATTATATTGACAGATATTCCTAATTTTGAGTCTTTCCCAGTCAAATACATAATACAAAACAATAATGAAAATGGAAAGCTTGTGCAGGGACAGGGTAAAAGGCACATTATTCATTACCATTTCAAAACCGTTAAAAATAAATTTTATTTAACAGAACTTTTGGATGGTATTTTAATCATTACCATTCAAGTTGTAAGATGTCGTACTATGCCCTGTAGATCTGAATATCAGGGAAAGATTGTTCAAAAATCTTTGCAGTTTTGAAATCTGAATTTGAGTGTAAACAGGCCTAGCTGTTTGTGTAATTGTTGCAAAGCCTGGCCTATGATTATAAGGATTAAAAGGACAAAATGACATGGTTAAGATATCTTTTCTCATTTGTGTAATTTAAAGAAACAGGATCATACCGTATTGGCCTTGTAAATCAGGTACCAATTTCATGTTTCAAAATGTTTTTTCCCGAAAATTCCCAATCCAAAAGAGTTTTAAATGACTTCTGTTAACAACTGTATTCTTTCTTCTCTCACTCTTGTGTCCTTCAGGAGTCCATACTGAAGGGAAGATTCTCCCCCTCAGGGAGGATAGAGGGGTTCACGGCGGAGATCGGTGCCAGCGGCTCTTATTGTCCGCAGCACGTCACCCTGCCGGTGCAGGTTACATACTACGACATCTCAGAGCACAGCGCACCCTCACCCTTCCTGGTCAGTCAGTCTCAGTGTGTGTTTTTATGTGTGCCCACTAAGAACAAAAACAATGTTGCATGTTTTTCCTTTCCTTCTTATAATATAAAGCTTTTTGTCTGTTCACGTGAGCAGTGAATGAGATATATTTGATATCTATACCAAATACATAGCAAGGTAGCACCAGCATCAATATGTGAATCTCTTTAGTCCCTGTTACAAGAAGTCTTAAGTTGTGTTTGCTGCCACACTGGACCACTTGGAAAGCAGTCTTTTTTCACTTTCTTAACTTCATGCCTAATGTTGAATGATATACATAGTTATTCTGTCGGTTTTCCTGTACAACAGTTTATTTGTCACTGCTTTTGATAGGATATGACCTTTTATAGTATGTTTTAGTTGATCAAACCAGAAATGAAAATGCACATTTCTTGATGTGAAAACAAGAACTGTACCAAAGAATGAGTTATTTTACCATGACATTGATCAAAGACATTAAGTCAGTTGTGTGTTTCTGTCTGTCACTCTCACAGGGTGTGATTTCCCTCGAGCATCTTGGAAAGAAAGGATACAGCATACCCAAAGCAGGGACCATTCAAGTGGTAAATTGTCTTGTTTCTTTCATGTCATTCCTTGCCTGTGAATCTTTCAGAGATATGTCATTGTGCCACCGCAATACTATAAGAGGGCATTTGCATTATTGACACTAAGAGCAGTTGTAGTCTAACTTCTATACTTCAAATAAAACCACTGCAAGCTGTCTTATTTTTGCTGTTTGTAATACTGACTTTGGTCCAACATCTTTTTCAGACCTTATTTAATCCCAACAAAACTGTGGTGAAGATGTTCCTGGTGACCTACAACTTTAGTGACATGCCAGTTAATCACATGACCTTCCTGCGCCACCGTATCTTCTTGGTGCCCGTAGAGGAGGAGGCTGAAGGAAAGGGCGAGGCGCCTTCAGGGAGCGCAGTGGTAGAAAGGAGGAAGATTCTCTGCTACCTGATACATCTCAGGTAAATCAGGTTTCACTTTTTTACTTCAGCAGCCTGTTTTGTGATTGTCTGAAAAACATCACAAGATCACAATGTATTTCTAATAGTTTGACAGTGTTACACAACTGTAAGCACATTTTTCCTTAATTACCAGCAAACTTTTTTGTCCACTGGTAGTACATTTTAAGGTTTAATATTCGGGAAAGGTGTTGTGCCAACGCATTTGTTTTGGTTCTTTTCTTTCTCAGATTCCAGAGCTCCAAATCTGGGAAGATCTACTTGCACAATGATATCCGGCTGCTATTCTCCCGCAAATCCATCGAAGTAGACACAGGGATCCCTTATGAGCTGAAATCTTTCACCGAGGTGCCAAGAAACCCTAAATACTCCCCCCGCGTGTGATCCGAGCTTCACCTTTTGACCCTCCCCAACGCCAATGCAGTCCCTCCTGTGATTCCTAACGAGGAGGGAGGGAAAAGACAGACTGCTAGAATGATGGACGCAAAACTTGATAAGACTTGATGAGATACACCACATGCACACAAGACACACATGCACACATAATACAGTGTGGTGATATCAAAAATCCCCCTTTATGCATTTATTCTCCATTGAAATGTAGACAGTCAAAAGACATTAGTGATAAAAACGTCACTCAAGCAAACATAGCATTCCTTGTATCTCCCATTAGTTGAAAGTATGAAAAGAATTACAAATATTGGTGTTAAAGCAGTCCAGCATGCATGCAGTCAAAATCAGGACGTTTCCGAAAACCTTCATCTGTATGAGAAAAAAAGAAATGCACAAAATACTGACACACACACACACACACACACACACACACACACACACACACACACACACACCAAAAGAGACTGTCAAGACTCACACTCAGCACATACTTCGCACGTCACAGCTGAAACACTTCTTGTGGTGACTCTCTGAGTTTAGTGTTAACATGCATGCCTTGTGACTTAAACACCTGCATTTTCCTCTAGTGCCGTATCACACTGTCCTTCACTCTGCCTGCAGCTCCAAGAGATTTGTCAAGAGGCACAAACAATAAGCACATCCCTGATTGCAGGGTGAAGAAAATAACGTCCCCCTCCCCCACTTTTCACACACACTTTCTGACTGGCAGAGAGGAGATGAGCAGAGACACAAACACTAGTGAAAGCAAAATGGAATCGGCCATCTTGATCAGATGTCTTTATCATATAACACATGATAAAAAAAACAAAAACATGATTTGACCAAACTCAGGACACATGTTGAAGAATCAAATTCTCCTCTTCACACTTGCCTATGATGGTACAGACTTTAAGCCAGGATCATGGGTCATACCATGTCGTAAGAAAACAGGGGAATCCAGTTCAACTTATGTAGCCAGACTGAGGGACACTGTGTTGTTTTCTTTCTTTCTTTTTAGAATCTGTTCAGAGCAGTCTGATGTTGGAGCAGAACATGGATAAAAAACAACAAGCTGTAGTATTTTTAATTTATGTTTTCGCAAATGTCTTAATAAGCAATATGCTGCACAAAGTAGAGTGTGTTTTTAAGCCGGACGAGCTTTCTCTCTGGTGCGGGGGGGAACAGAGAAAGCGGAGGATTGAGTGTGAGGGAGGAAATGGGAGGAGGGAGGGATGACAGGGAGGGGGGTGGGGGGGTATTTAATATGGGGAAAAAGTCTATGTATATTTAAAAGAATAAACTCTGCGACTGGCGAGTGAACGACCTGTCTTTGTTGTGGTTTTTCAATCCTACATTTTACCTACACCTCCCATAATGCATCACCCTCTTCAACATCTTTCCATAGACCTTCTTTGTGCCTGATACACATGAATGTGTTCTAAACTCTACACCCCCAGTTTGCCATGCAGCCCTTCTGTTATTAAAAGTCTCAATTTCTTCAACATGACAAAGCTTCTCCCGTTCCCCAATTAATATTATACGTTTTCACAGGCTAAGTTAATGAGTTAACTAAACTTCACATGTACAATTGATGGAATAACACTTAAAAAGTTAGCATCCTTTTCAAAAGAATATTCAAGTAAAAAATACTTGGCGATTGTATTTCTACCCAAACTTGAGGCAAAGGTGAAACATATTTGATACAAATGTTTATCACTAAAAATATACCCAGGACTCTGATACCACATGGAATATAACACAGAAGAATGGAAGCAGATGCAAACAGAGATAGCTCAATTTCCATTCATGCAGATTGTTTACAAACCAGCATGAGAGGAACCTGTAACCATAAAGTGCTTCCTCCCCCGGCTTCTGCTGCACCACTGAAACTGCTCAGTGGATATGAACAGACTCTGGTTGTTCTGGGCAGTTCTGCAAAATATTACTGTCAAACTGTGAATGTCAAGGATGCCATTGCTGAAAATAGAAACCATCCTCTGTCAATATTACCCATAGTAAAGAAACAGAGGAACTTCTATATATATCTCGACAACAAAACTGCCAGTCATTACTGCTACGTACGATTCGCCATGAGTGTGCCTAATGCAAGATTTACATTTTTGTATTCTGGTCTGATCCTGAAGTTTGACAAAGAGTACACTTACAGTATGTGGTAATTGCGTAGGTTTTTTAATATCCAACAAATATAGTTTTTTTAAGAAACAGTGGTAGACAATATAATTTAAACACAAACTAGTAGAAAATACCTTCAAATACTGTTTTACACAATTTCTACCAGGCTGCTAGTCAACTGATATTTACTGCATATGTTCTTCATATATTTGCGATTTACTTTTAACTGATATATTTTGTTGCTTTTTGTTTGACATGGCAAAAAAACATGGTGCTTTGTGACTGATACACCTGCAGCTTGTCTCTAGAGCTGAGTTCTGTTTCTTTTGTGGCTGTGATATTTTAAAGCCTACAATGCTGCTTATTTGCAGCTAAATGCATTTGGTCCTAACACTGTTTTAACTTTAAGAATAACCAAGATCCAAAGAGGCCAATCTTATCAGGAGAATACAGGTTGAAAATGCATGAACCCACCCTCCTCCCTCATCCACCAACCTACACAGACACACATCATCATGTATTGCACACCAGTGCTACGTCCAAGTTGTGTTTCGGCAGTGGCTCAAAGGACTCAGATGGGTGTGACTAACAACAGTGCAAAGTTTAACCAGATGGGAGGAGGCTGAATAAAACCAGCAGTCCCTGAGTCCTGTGTTTACAGGAGAGCCTGAACAGGAAAAAAGTAGAGAAGAATCCTTTAAATCAGAGAACAGTTTTCATGCTATCTTTCTTTCCTATGTACCTCTGTAGATGTCCCCCCTTTCCTTACACTTCTTCATTAACTGTTATCCATACTACAGCATTTTTGGCAGCATTATCTGAGAGATTGATTTTATTTTCTAGATGTTTGATTTGGAAGAATGTGTAGACATAATAGTCACTAAGGTTATGTGACAATGATACTTACTGCATATCCCCAATGCTGACTATGCCCATTGAATGGTTTTAATTGACATCATTGTCTGACCCCTTGTGGCAGTAGACACTATTGCAGCTCCCCATACAGGCCTGCAGAAGGGAAGAAGGCTGCAATTGTGGCCCATTCAGTACCTGCCAATTTTCAATGAGGCGCAGTCTGTAAAACATTTTTAGACTGATCCTCCTAAGGTATACAATTATACTTTTTTTTGCAACATTGATTTGGGATTGTTCTTTTTTAAACTTTCCATCTTCTGGATCATTAACCCAGTCCTTTTAAAGTTAATAATGGCTCTGCAGTGTCTGTCTCTTCCCCTTTTCCCAGACAGTCCGGTGACTCAGGGCTTGGCTGTTTGATGCTCCTGTCAGATTCAATATTTTTGGCACACATAGATGACGCAAATGTCTGAAGAATAAGCAAGTCATCATCCCTCACTGTGTGTGACTCATTCTTGCTCAAGCAGAAATGTGCTGTTTTGGATCTTTGAGATAAAAAAAATACAAACGTCTGACTTTGACAAGACAATAAAATGGTAATTATGAAAAAAATATGTTTGCAAAACAAAAAACCTTTCTGAAAATATTCTTCTATTACGTAGCTGTTTATATTATATATCACCATTTTAGAAATGTAGATGGAATGCCAGCATTAATTTGGAAATGACTTAATTCACCTTTTCTTCATTATTGTTCTTCTTATTGTTGTTTACACAATGCAGAGACTTTAAGTACCCCTTATGTAAGTGCATGTTCATTTTAATAGTTGGTGTACACAAAACAAAATACAAGCGTATTAAAAGTGGTTCATCTTCAATGAAGTGGTTTTTAAAAAATAAAATGAATTATATTGAAATATTGTAAACATAGAATATGGAAATAAGACATCATTCATGTCATTGTTGGTAGAGCAGACTTATATCATCTATAAATAGTCTCATCGTGGCCGAGCTGATCAGTGCTCATTGGCTGCAGGTCACTGTCTTTAAAAGAAAAGAATCCCTGAGTGTGTGCAGTTCCTCCCTCCTCTCTGCTCTCCTTCTATATGACGTCTTCCAGTGTGTGAGCAGCGCCCTCGATGGCCTGACTCAGGACGGACAGGTGGTAGTGCACTTTGCCCCAGGCGCTGGACTCCACCAATGACTCAGCTTTTGCGTAGGCATCGGCAAGACCGGGGAAGGTTGGCTTTCCGGCACTACTAGAGGCCCAGATAACATGCCTGCATGACATACAGGGTTATAAAGAGTGTTATAAAATACCACAATCATAAAATGATATAGCAAAATTACAAAGAAGCAGGATATCACTGATGTTACCCCTAACATGGCGTCCGGATATGAGTGTAAGGGGAAGTCACAGAGAGGAACAAGGTCAAAATATATTTTAAAAGCTAAGAAACTGAGCTCTGGGAACCCTTGAAAATGCAGTATGTGTAAAAAATGACTCAAGGCAGGCCATTTCAGAATGCTTACAATAATGACGTCATTATATTTAGCTTATTAATTTAACAGATCTATCTAATTGTTGAGACATTTGACTCAAATCCACCAATGTAAACCTCATGGTGGTGCTAGAGGAAAAGAGAACGGCTCAAGAAAAGGCCTGTACGCAATTTCATGTCAATCCCTATTAGAGTTTGGATATTTCAGAATAGGACTGCCCTCAAGCCACGCTGCTAGCTTTATTTCCCTGGGTGACACATCATCTCACCTGAATGCATATTTATCCGGGAAGGCCAGAGGGTCCAAGAAAGCTCGGTCCAGCAGCATGAGCTGGTCATTGATCCTTCTGACCTTCAGTGGTCTGAAGCAGAGAGACAGAGAGAGGTGGCTCATTTAGCAGAGGAGATAATAATATGACGATGTGACAATTATGACGTATGTTTGTGTTCTTACGTTTCATTTGCCAGGTCTGAAGAGCGAATCACCTGGTCCAAATGAGTAGCTGCATTGCGGAAACTGGCCACTGCACGTTTAATTGGTTCTGAAACAAAACACAAATCAGCTATGAAGCCTCCGTCAAAGCTTTCACCCTTCATACTCTTCTGTGAATAAGAGAAAGAGGCGCTGACTCCTGCTGTTGGAGTGTCCCCTGTTGTTTCAAAAGGGCAACCTGAACACAGTTTTTTATATCTTCAGGTTCCTCAGAGCAGTTTAAAAACGCAAATACCAATGAGAAACATTGTCTATCTCAGGTCTTGCAGTTGAAGTAATTCAAGTGATTATTGCAGCTGCCAAACTATAAAAACATCCACATTTGACACAAACTTGTCATGGTGAGATATGAATCCCAGATGAAATTATTTTACCCATACAATATTTATTTTACGGCAATATTCCCCAGCATCACTGAAATCTGTGCTCACCCATGGAGATATGCCTGTTTTGCAGTTGCTGCTCATACAGAGTCACGGCTGTGTTCAGGTAGTCTTCCAGAGTCTCAGCGTAGTCACTGCAGTTTAATGGCAACACCAGGCTGTCAGCCAATCGGATCAGGACGTTTCCTGCTGTCCTGGCAATAGCCTGGTGACTGACGAACCCTGAGAGGGATGAGAGGATTTACACAATAAATAGTTTGGACATCCTTTGAAGTTGTCAAATTGAACAACAGAAGATGGAGACATGGCTGGGAAATGTAAGACTTTTTTGTTAAACGTATATATTTTTTTGAAACATTTACCACAGAATAAAGTATAATCTGCAGGACCATTATAGAAAAATGTGAATACATGAGATCTCATTGCTCACCGGGATCAATGAACTTTGAAGCGTAGTCAAAAGTGTCGTATGCTGTGTGATACGCAGGGTAAATCCGAGCATTTGTTTTACTCTGTACAAAGAAAAATATCAACATGATATACATTACATTACTTGAGTTCAGTCTAATTCTGACTTCTTCTAAAACATTTGAACACCAAAATTATTTATTTTCTTAAAAAAGTGCACCAAGAAAGCAATGTCCAATACATTTAAGATTGAGTTAGTAGGAAGAAGGGAAGACATCCATATTACAGTAAGACATATGCAGCAAGTCTTTCATACCCTGTCATATGTGTATGATATGTCCATGGAAGTGATTCCCAGGTAGTGGACAAAGGCAGCGTAATCACTCCCTGCTCCTGACAGGTATCCCACCCTGTTTAAGGAAGGGAGTGCATGCAAGACTTTAGCTTTCTGTGAAAACACATAGTATCATTTAATTTCAACACGTATATGATGCAAATCAACTCAAGGCACGGATAATAAACTACAGACTGTATGGAAAATATGCATTTTCAATTAACTGATTTGTTAAGGGTCTTTTCAAGGTGTGTTCACATTTATCAATCACTTTGATTCAGGATGTAAACAGTTTTCTAGCCAATCCTATTGTTTCAATTTGAACAAAAACCCATCCACCACAGATTATGGATGAAGTTTCATGTCTAACAACAATGGATAAAAAACCTTGCATGTAGACAAGTCTTCTCCCAGAATACAATGCAAAATCCGGGAAAAGTAAAGAAACTCTATAGTTCATTACTTGGGAATGAGTCCGTGGGTCGGACTTGTCCTGTTGGCATATTGAATCCAGTTGTCATACACAGATGTGGAGTCCAGCCCAGGGGCATCCACCTAGAGAGCAGACAGGCTTTCAGGTGTCACATTCCTGTCGGATTATTGACGAGGGTTTAGCCAAAGGTAAAATGCTGGAGAGAAAGCTTACCTGTTTTGAAGCTTTAAAGATGACGTTCTGTAGTGATGGCATCCCAGAAGCCCTCAGAGTGGCGTTTGCTAAGGAATGGAAGATGAGTGGTTTAGATCAGTATCACTATTAACCTACGCATCAACAACCCACAACACAATTTACAGTACATTACATTACATTTCATTTAGCTGACGCTTTTATCCAAAGCGACTTACAATTACCAATTACAGGGACATTCTCCCTGGAGTAACTGAGGACTAAGTGCCTTACTCAAGGGCACACTAGTGGTGGTGTTCCTGGCGGGATTTGAACTCACAACCTTCCGATCTTCAGCCCACCTCTAGGAGATGTTTTTTATGCATTTAACATTATGTACCACCAAATAATTCATGTCTGTCAACTGGATGGTTTCTAGAACATTCCAAAAAACATCTAAAGGCTGAAAATCAATAATCAACCAAGCAAAATCTTTCATTTCCAATAATTTCGGCTGTCCAGGTTGACCAAGTGAGATTACTCCAAGACAGGGTATCTGGTTTTGACAGGTAATGCAGCAAAAGCTTCTTACCAAAAACAGCTATATCCACATTGATGTACGCAACGGTTCTTTCACTGAGCTTGGTGAAGTATTGCTGGGAAAAAAACAAGACCAAGGTCATATTTGTTACTGTTAGTCAGTTTACAAACAAACAAACAAATCAATGTTATGACAAGTAATGTTGTAATCTACTCAGGAAATGACCAACATTTGCAACAATAAGCTAATGGTCAGTATCAGCAAAACTCCTAAATGTATTGAATTAAGCAACAGAGTGTATGATTGCTTATGAATGCATGAAGAGTGGAGGAATAATTGCATTACCCACCTCTGTGTATTCTGCAGACCCAATAAGGCCAAACTCCTCCGCTCCCCAGCTTCCAAAAATAATGGACCTGCGAGGCCTCCATTTGCCTTTAACAGAGAAAAACAGAGATGAACTCTTTATCAGGCACATTAAACAAAAATAACTAATTCAGCTTCTACTGTCCTCACCCTGCTTGACCATCTTGCCCAGCACTCTGGTTAATTCCAGCATGACGGACGTCCCGCTGCTGGGATCGATGGCACCGTGGACCCAGCTGTCCCTGTGGTTCCCATAGATCACATACCTGTCTGCGGACACAAACACACAAACAGAGCAGAGTGATTCAAGCTGAAAACAGATGGTAGTGAATGGCTGATTATTGACTTGGGTCACCAGTCTCACCTGGCTCCACACTCCCTCTGATGACCCCCATCACATTGGAGGAGTTCTTCAACTCTTCACGGTTGAAGATGTCCAGTTTCACATCACTGGAGAAGAGGGTCAAAGTCAGAAGTATGGAGCGACAAGGAAAGGAGACAAATAGATGTCCCAGTATTAAACTGTTGGTGAGTGCTTTTTGAAATGTTTGATACACTTTTTGTATTTATACTGTTTTATTCCTAATCTATTTAGCTGATTTCATGATTTGTTTTGTCTTGACTCCCTCTGGCACATGTCCTTTGGCCTCATTTTTAGTGTATTCACCTTGTTTTTTTCCTACTTTTTTAAGTTAATTTGTATTACAGTTAATACCTGTTGTTGAAAGCAGATGTCAGTTTGAACCCTGGACCGCCAAAGTTGTAGGTACAGTTGAATGATCCCTGCCATAGAGCTGGAGCTGCTTCTCCGTCCAGCTCACTGAAATAACCCGAAAAACAGATGTAATGTATTATTTTAAATTTTTCATCCATAGACTGCATACATATAAAAAGCCATTGCAAACCAGATTAGCTTGTAGGCATCCTCAAATCCGATTGGTTGAATAGGAATGGGAGGGACCCCTGTGATGTCCTCGACAGGGATTCTGTAGGTTTCATCTAAAAAATAAGTTAAAACAAGTTAAACATTAAAATGAAAAGGATTAAAATGCCCTGGTTTTATCTTTATATAAGCTGTGTGTTGCAAAGGTCCTTCCTCAGATTGCATTGAAGCCAAAGTGCACAGTAGTAAACACACAATAAAAAGACAAGTCACAGGTTACCTTTGGCAGCCAGGTAGGGAGTGAGCAGGTCTCCATAGTGGGTGTTAAAGGAGCCTCTCTCCACACCGGACGGCGGCAGGTACCAGGAGTGAGGATATGTCTCATTGAGGTCTGACATGACACCATCATTGATGTCCAAAGGGTCTGTGTACACAAGAACCCCGATCACTCCGTATGGTGCTCCATTAATGGCCTGGATGAGACACAAATGATATTTTAATTACACAAAAAACGGATTTATACTTTTATTTAAATTATTTTAACAGGCGTTTACAACTAGGCAATGTAGTACATTAAAGGTGGGGTAGGTAATTTTGGAGAAACCAGCTCGAGTGAGCTAGAATTTAAAAATACACAACCGGAAAAAATCTGCCACTTCCTTACAGAGCCCCTCCTCCAACACACACGAACGCGCACATGATAGAGATGGCAAATCCGGATCATTTTACGGACTCAGGGTCTTCTGAGTCAGTCATTGAAGAGATCCGGATCATACGAGTCATTTGAGTCATATGAGTCATATGAGTCAGCATGACCAAGACCGTAGAAATCCTATTGGTGAAACCGAAAAGTTGTTGCATTTCACGAGCATATTATTATTCCATATATTTTGAATATATATATATATATATTTGTATATATATATATATATATATATAATATCTGCATGTATATTTTCTATTTCGACATGTATATTTTATATTTTATATTTTATTTTATTTTTATTTCTATTCTTGTATATTTTGTAGTTTTGTTTTATTGTAAAATGCCTTATGCTGCTGTAACAACAACAATTTCCCAATTTGGGATCAATAAAGTACTATCTATCTATCTATCTATTAAACTGACGTTATATTAACCTCCGCTACACAGTGTATTTTGCTTTAATAAAAAATGTTGATCACAAAAAAAAGGGTTATTTTGCGATTTGGCAAATCTGAGTCTGCTGTTGACTCGTGCATGAGGACGAGTCTGCTGGATCTCTGGATCTGCTGCTATATACGGCTCCGAGTCCGCACGAGTCCGCACTGCTGTGTGTTGCACACACAGTGAGTCAGGATTTGCGAATCCGAGTCTGCTGTGGACTCGTGCATGACGGACGAGTCTGCTGGATCTCTGGATCTGCTGCTATATGGTTACGGCTCCGAGTCCGCACGAGTCTGATCCGCTGTGTGTTGCAGCGAGTCAGGATTTGCGAATCTGCGAATCCGAGTCTGCTGTGTGGACTCGTGCATGACGACGAGTCTGCTGGATCTCTGGATCTGCTGCTATACGGTTACGGCTCAGAGTCCGCACGAGTCTGATCCGCTGTGTGTTGCAGCGAGTCAGGATTTGCGAATCTGCGAATCTGCGAGTCTGCTGTTGGAGCCGTCGGCTCCTCTGAGTCCCCACGAGTCTGCAGGAAGTTTCACTGATCCGCGTCCCCTCCCCTGAGCCAAACGATCACTTCTGGCAGCTATCCTGTGACTGTATACTTGCTAAAGGGTAGGTAGATGGACTTGGGGTACATTGTAATGTGATTTTACATGTTATAAAGAGAGTAGCGAGTGACGCAATTTATAGTTTTAATTTGTACGTCACACCAAGTGTGGGACTCAAGGACTCGGGTTAATGGAGAGGGGAGACTCGTCATGACCAGCTCATTTCTAGGATCCGGGTTAATGATCCGGATGAATCAGGACTCGCCCATCTCTAGCACATGACCAATGAGGGCACGAGATAAGTTTGTGCACAGATGGAAGGCTGACAGGCAGGTAGGCCATCCAGTTATTTTAGCCGGGTCGGCTAAAATGATTGGTCGTGCTTTTTACAGTACTACGGCTTCCACAGATGAATTTTTTTTATGGATTTTTTGTCAAAGCATTTAAGATTAGTGATGGGAATTATGGCTCTTTGAAGGGAGCCGGATCTTATGGCTCCGTTCCTTTCAAAGAGCCGTTCAAAATAGCCGTTCAAAATAGCCGTTTTTTTAAAAGGGGGCGGGGTTACTAGGTTTATCTGCGAAATAATCACCAGGATAATGATTGACTGTATTGCCAGACCTAATGTCAATAATCTGCATTGTAAACATGACACAAGGTGGTGCCATATCCATGTCATTCATGTCAGTGAATGTACTACTTTGAATTTACCCTCTGTATGTGTTAAAGTGGACCTATCATGCTATATTTAAATGATATATTGTAGGGCCATACCTATATAAGGTATATTTATACGTTTCTGTTTTCAAAATACCAAACAGATCATGCATTTTAGGCCCCGGCTCCACGAGGACAAATACGGCAAAACGCATCGGAGTAACGCAAATGCAACCGCAAAAAACCTTCCGTCCCCACGCAATATACACCGGATTGTGTCAAGCTCCACGAGACGGCTCCGTTTACATCCAAACGCTGGAAAAGTTGCAGTACATATGCCGAACCTGTACGTGGCGCTGTAACTTCCTCCACAAAAGCAGCAACTTCCTCCACAAAAGCAGCGAAGAAGAATGGTTGTCATGGCTGCACTTCTGTGTATTCTCCGCGGTGGGGGCCGACAGAACCGGGCAGAGTTTTTCGCCGGTCAGCGTGTGTTAAAGTTTAAATCTTCCGGACAAAATTATAAAAGTGCCGGTCAAAGGTCTTCATTGTTATTTATTGAGCTTTAAAACAAATGAATAACGACGATATAATGATATATAATCATCAAATACACAGAGCCTGTCTCTTTTTCCTCTCTTCTCACAGCGTCAGTGTCTGTCTCATGCAGCAGCTGATCCTGTAATGAGTGACCCGACAGTAAAAATGAACATATTTATAACTAGTTTAGGTAGTTTGAGAGGTAATTAAAATAGCTAAGGGTGATGATCTGACTTGAAGTGTGTGTTTTGCTCCCGCTGCATCACAGCGGCAGGAGCTGCGTGTCTCCGTCCTGTCAGATTAGACTTCACTCGCGTTTATGTCCATATCGAGATAAAGATAAATAATCTGAATTCAAGGAGGAGCTCCTGTAGATGTTGCACAAAGAACTGTAGCATGGTCAGTAGCGACTGGAGCACGATAGCAACCCTGCGGGGGAGAGGCGGGGCTATGAAAACGAATGACCGTATAGGCGACTCCACGGCCCCGTTGGACCCCCCAGAGCGCTCCGTTCCCAGATCCATCCACCTTTGGACCCGTTGTCGTTTGCGGGGTCTGTTTCTACGTTTCCCTTACGGCGTCGTCGAGCTTAGAGGGCTATACGCATGAGAAATATGCGGATTCAACCCGTTTTCGTCCTCGTGGAGCCGGGGCCTTAGCCATGCCTCATTTCGCTCTAGTGCTGTTTGCTGTCTACGGGGCTGATTCTGTGAGCTGCAGCTGACCACGCCCCCCTGCAGGAGAGGGGAGCCGTGCTCTGATCAAGTCAAGAGGGGGAGAAAAAAAGATCTCCGTCCTCCGTGTTTTATTATATTATTATAGGCCTATAGAGTCGTTATTCATTTGTTTTAAAGCTCAATAAATAACAAAGAAGACCTTTGACCGGCACTTTTCTAATTTTGTCCGGAAGATTTAAACTTTAACGGACATCTTGATCGGCGAAAGAAACTGAAACTGAAACTCTGCCGCACGGTCCCCTCGTTCCTTGGAAGAGGCGGAGAGGTGGGTGTTTGTCATCTGCTGGTGGACTAACCGGAGAGAATTACAGTGCTTGCCTCGACGGGGAGGGATTGCATTGAATTAAAGCAGCGGGAGCAAACGCTTGCCTCGGGGCGGGAGAAAAAAAAGCCACAGCGGAGAATAAACAGAAGGGTAACCATGGTAACTATGGGTGGGAAGTCTTCTTCGCTGCTTTTGTGGCAGACTACAGCGCCACTTACAGGCCTGGCATATGTACTACAGCGTCTCCAGCACTTTCGAGCGGCAATGGCCAGCCGTGGCCCAACCCCACATTCCCCTGATAGGTGGAGAGTTGGCCCAATAGCCGTAGCGCCACTTCTGTGACGTCAAATCTGGATCAGTTTTTATCAGATCCGTTGCAGCCCCTTTTTTTAGAGATTTGGGTATGGAGGAAAATAGAGAGGGTTGTGTTTTCTGACACTTGGTGAGTTCCCTGGAACACCGGGGACACATATTCATGTATAAAAGACGTACAAAAGTGCATTTTGCATGATAGGTCCCCTTTAAAGTGGACCTATCATGCTATATTTGAATAATATATTGTAGGGCCATACCTATATAAAACATGTCTGTGAAGTTTTTTTTTCAAAATACCAAACAGATCATGCATTTTAGCCATGCCTCATTTGCTGTATTCCAGCCCTGTTTTTGCAAGGGCTGATTCTGTGGCAAATGAGCTGCAGCTGACCACGCCCCCCTGCAAAGGAGGGGGGCGAGGCACGAGCGTCATGTTACCATGCTGTTACCATGCTGTTACCATGCTGTTACCATGCCACGGCAACCTCTCATTCCCCTGATAGGTGGAGAGTTGCCCATATAGGCGGAGCTCCCTGTTTCTGACGTCAGAACAATTTCAAATCTGTATCAGTCTGTATCAGCTCCGTTGCAGCCCTGTTTTTAGAGATTTGGGTATGGAGGAAAAGAGAGAGGGTTGTGTTCTCTGACACTTGGTGAGTTCCCTGACACACCGGGGACACATATTCATGTATAAAAGATGTACAAAGGTGCATTTTGCATGATAGGTCCCCTTTAAGATATTCATTGCTATCGGGATGTTAAGAGCATTCCATGGAATATAACAAAAAGTGTATCTCGAGCCGGTTTCTCAAACTTACCTACCCTACCTTTAAAGTATCAAAATAGTAGTATAACTATTAGAGAGTGCATGAGTCTTAGTTAGTTTACAAATAAAATACAAATTGTCGGAGGACAAATGTTATATTAATATTATATGTAAAAATGAGTTTTCCCTCGCTAACATAAGAAACTAGCTGTTGAGGAGAACGTTAGTTAAAACCTGGGCGGAAAATCTTACATTGCATACTTTCATGATTTTACACAAAGAATCTGTTGATATTTCATGTTGAGTTATACAGAAATAATGTTGAATCTTGATGACATGATTTTTTAAAGCGTTTTTCAAAATCTATGTTTTAGTTGATTAGTTCTGACAGTGACATTGTTGTAATAAAGTCTGCACTTCTCCAATAAGGAAAGCTATTTTAATTAAATTGGTTGGACTGTAAATGTCCACAACCTCTACTATAATGATAAAAAGTGTCATTAAAAGATAACAAGTACTGACTATATTGATTCATATGAAGAATACAATTTCAGATGCACAGCAATTACGACTTACATTTTGGCAATTCAATTGTTAGATCCCAGGCTCCTCCTAAGTTGTAAATTGCAGTACACTTAAGATATTAAAAAGTATAAATTATAAATGTGACTCAACGCTTATAGCTTGTAACTATCACTTTTCCCAACACAGGGTTTGTCTCCCGTGGACAGATTGTCTCTGCTTATCTCATGAAAGATAATGGAAACAAACACAAACAGTATAATAGGTCACTCACTTTGTCAGCTCTTCCTGCTCCGCCATATCTGGTGATCGCGATGGTTCCTCGAAGGTCAACCGTAGTGTTCAACAGGTGGTAGTCACTGGGTTTCCCCTGGTTGGCGTACACCAGTTTACCCTGTAAACATCAGAACAATTACAAAAAAGCCAATAAAAAACACAGTGATGCAAGAATAGCCCATCTGTTAAGAGTATATAATAATATCTTATACATTTAAACGTATACATATATTAAGATGCGTATTTATTCCTGTATGCTTGTATATCTAACAAAAGCCTTTATTTTATGCTTCTCAATGTCACCTGCCTGATTATGGCTTCTTCTTACCGGGATGGTCGCAGATGAATACGTTTCTTTACTCTTAACAGATGGGCTTTTCTTGCTTTGTTAACTCACTCAACATCATACATACAGATTTAGTTACAAAGACAAATGATGTGAACGTATTCTTGTTGATAAGCCTTCTTTTGTTTTTGCTAATACATACATTACTTAAGGAGGGGAGATCATCATTTGGTGTAAAATTCCATTTACAGAGGAAATTACTTTCCTGACCGTAGGAAGGAAATATATGTGCAGCGCTTTAAACAAAAAGTACTTTACACCACGTCCTAAGGCAACATGGGGAACATATTGGGGACTGTTTGCCTCAGCCCATTAATACATTCATTTTAGGAGGTTTCTGTTTGGGCATAAAAACAATACATCTACAACTTTTTGAATCGTTTAGAGTGTTTGTAAGTGAAACTGTATGTGACATTAGAGGCCTCCATGCAGGGCCTTGGTCAGATGCTGCTGGTGCAAACAAAAGAAACGTTTATAATGAAAAAGCCGCTGGGAATAAAGCATACTGAAGGAGATTTAAGAGATCTGAAGAGAGTCTTTTACCTTCGGGTGTCCAGCAGGGGAGTACGCAGCATATGGCTGAACCACCTCAGGGTCATCTTGGTCAGGGGTATAACTCTTCTCCTTTTCTCTGGCAGCGTACAGCACAGTCTCCGACGGGCTCACTGAAATGAACAGCTCATTGTGAATGGTCTGCTAGTACAGTTAGTTCAAGTCAGCGGGGCAAAGACATCACACAAATGCATTTGTAATGTAGTTTAATGTTGACCTTTTTAGATTGGTTCCAGTTTTCTTTTAAATTTGACTGAGTATGGAATGTAGTACAAACAAAAAAAGTTTTTTTGTTTGAAAGCATGATAGGACAAATAAAAAAAGAGTAATTGAATAATTTTCAGCTGGCTTTTTCATAAATGTTCTTCCCTAGGGTAATTCTGCAGATACACTGTTTATATATTATAAAAAAAAATTTAATCTGGTTTTACGGCAGATTTAACTGCATTGAATCATATGGCACAACTGTAAAGCTGAGTGATTCACTGCATCTCATATATCAACTTGCCATTTGAAGAGTTTCTGTTTACTCAGAGTTATAGAACAGCTACCTGATAATGCATCTTGAACCCTGAATGGAGGGCTGTAGTGTGTCTGTCCCCTCTTTAGTTTAAACATATTTGACAGCCTGTTGACTCACCTACAGTGACCTTGTTTGGGTTCTTGGGGTCGGGGAAGGACAGGTAAACCATGTACTCCTCCCTCCAGGCCTGGTCCAGACCGGTTTCGGGGTCCTGCCATCTCTTTAGCATGAACTGCACCGTCTGCTCGTCTCCGGCTGTGGTGGCCATATGGGGCACTTTGGTCAGCTCCCTGTGGAAGAAGAAGGCGTGAAAGAAGATGTTTTGGATATTCAAATGCCTAAAATATGAAAGGGCTATGAGGTATTTAAAGTTTTTTTTCAGTAAACCACAAAGGGATCAAGTGATCTGTTGTTCTAGAGAAACTTTAATACACCATAGGGAAAAATGCTAAATGAATTCCATGGCTTCATACTAATGTGTATTACTCTTTTCAATGTGAATGACAACAATGGCTTCTTTTTTATTCCCTGTTCTCATCTTGTAATCAGTGGAACGAACAACATCAATAGACAATATTAAACAGTATACCATGATAATAGAACAAAAACTCACCTAAGGTTTTCTTGAATCTGGATGTTGTCCACCTCAGACAAGAACTTCTCAATGAAGCTCTCGTCCACATCCTTGGTCACATCCTTCACCCAGGACGGTGCCGAGTTGCTGCTCTTATTGATACCAAAGTGGCCAATTAGGATCCCGAAGGTCAGTACGGCAGCACTACACACAATCCCAATCAACAGCTGCTTTATCATCCTCTCTGTGGAATGAAGTCTTCAAAGGAAAAGTTCTTCTTGTCTTTGGACCTGAATCCTTTACCAGAGAAGGAGCTCTCTCCAAATGTCAGGAGTGTTGTTGCGTTGCTCAGGAAATCCAGGCTTGTGTAAGAGAAAACCCTCACACCACACTTTCAAATGATCGCTGCAACACCAGTGCAGCTCCAATAAGAAGAGACAGGCTCATTGTAAAGTTTACCCATTAATGTTTGAAGATGGGATGGACTTTATCCATGTGTTACTGTGTGTGTGTGTGTGTGTGTGTGTGTGTGTGTGTGTGTGTGTGTGTGTGTGTGTGTGTGTGTGTGTGTGTGTGTGTGTGTGTGTGTGTGTGTGTGTGTGTGTGTGTGTGTGTGTGTGTGTGTGTGTGTGTGTGTGTGTGTGTGTGTGCAGGGGATTTTATTTGCATCATTTATTTAGTTTGAAATGTTCAATCGTCACCAGTATATTATGATGGGAATTTACAGTGATATCAATATGTATGTAGGTTTCCTGGATACAAAATGTTCTCAGACAGAAGGGTTTCGCCCTGACCATTGTCAGGCAATTATTATATGGATGTTAAGGTTTGTAATTAACATGCTGCGCTTCCCCTTCTGTCTGCCCCCCCACCCAATTTAGGACTGTAATGTGGATTGCCTTCCTTCCTGTGTTTCTCTCTCCCTTACAGTAATCACTGTTTGATGGAGTTTGTCCACATGTGTTTATGAAATTACGAAAAGGATATTGGAGGATGTTGGTTTATCATCAGATGCACTTTACTGATTTCCTACCTGTTGGGTGGGATCCCAAAAGCGCTGCGCAGCTAAATGGGTGATGTATATCAGAATCAGAATACCTTTATTAGTCCCACAGAGGGGAAATTTGCATAGTTACAGCAGGAAAAATACCCACAGACAGCTTAATGTTACACATGTTACATATGTTACATGCATTAAAAAAAAGTACTAAGTTATGATATAATTAAAAATATAATTAAAAATAAATTAAAAAAGTTACATAATTTTCAAAATACACATCCTGTAACAGTTCTTAGGATTTAGCAGCCAGGTATAAATTACACAGTTATTAACGGCATATGTATATTGCACATATTGCACATAGTTGGTTGGTATTTAGCAGCAAAGGGTGATATAGTCTGTGTTGTGGTGTGTGTAGGGGGGGGGGGGGTCTACTAGGGGCTGTGCTGGTTGTATAGTCTGACAAGCAGTTATGACATCAACCTCACTAATTATTCAACATCAGAACTAGTTATATTCTGTGGTTTTCCACAGCGCGCTCTGCGACAGCCTCATGAATCTTCACCTTCTAGAAGGTTCAACATTAACACAGTATTTTGAAGATTTTACGTATTTGCAGTCCATCTGAGGCCCCTTTTAAATAAACAAAGCAAATCTATCCAAATGACAGTAGGCTCAGACTAATACTAGTTACCTATTTAGGATATGTGATCACAGCTGAGGGACAAATCCCTCTCTCCTAACATATTAAAGCTATTGAGTCTCTCCTTCTATTCCAGAATCTTAGTGCACATGACGTTGACCTGGACTGCTGACAGAGCTTTACTGACTTAAACAACTCTCGCACCCACACTGGGTCTGCCATAGACTGATACCAGACCATTTTCACAGTTCAGTCAGACAACTCACCTGTTTCTTAATATGTTTATTAGAAGCAGCATATAGTTTGAGTTTGGCGTCTAGGCTCGGGCCTCATCACTCCACCGATGTAGATAGAACATTGAGTGATGATTAGATAACTCTCCCCCGAGCCTACAGGTGGAAGCTGGGGTGAAGCTGGGGTGGTGGGGGGGCAGGCAAGCAGCAGCAACATGAAACACAACAGCAGGAACATGAACATGACTTGCAGTAGTAGCAAGTGAACACAGCAGTGGCAAACTGAACAATGACTATCATTTATTTCAAGAACTTTTATTTACAGAAACTCAACATTTCTAATCTGTGTGACACAAATATGCACGATTTTTTTAGGCTCCCCCTATTTATCTCAAAGTCGGCCTTCAGGGGAGCTCCCCCCCTCTTTAGGGGAGCCAAGCTCGCCCTGGCTTCCCCCCATTTCGAACACTGGCTATAACTCTTTATTAAATAACACGAGTTTGGTTTAAGCTTGTATATTTGTTATTTTCTTACCAGAAGGTGATTAAGTGTGGAATTTCCACCACATATATGAAGTTAGATTATGATTTAATAAGTGATTTCTGGACATTTTATAAATGCTAAAGTGAGGAATAACAAACGTTTAAATACAGGTTTGAAGCCTTGACATGTTTTAACAAAAATAAATGGATTAGTCTGAATATATCTAATTCAAGATACCCCCTTCTTAGCTTCACACTACTCCGCAAGTTGAACATGATGAAGACTTCACTTCATTTGCATTTCCATTTCCATTTTGTGATTTTTGTCTTAACATAACAAATGAAATAGTGTAACATATACAAATATATAAAAATAAATACAAACATTCAAACTATATTTCACACACAATACAACTCTGTCAGCACATACATAAAAATACTTCAAAACTTTGTCTTGTTTAATTTGTTCAGGCAAATAGCAACAAAAGTGAGTCTTGTCTTGTCAGTGCCTATAAATAATCAACTAAGATCATCTGAGCTGATAACATTGTTCATAGATCTTGTGAGTCTACGGACCTAATAGTACATTTCTTTCTTCCTGTATGCCTATGCCAAATGAACACAATCTTTGTTTTGTCGACATATGACTTCCACTTTATAGCTCAATGTGTAACTGTAAAATAAGAACTTCAAAGAATCAAATGATTTCAGTGTACCTATTCCAGGTTATTTTGGACTGATTTAGAAAACTTCTTGACACTTTAGTCAGAAAATAAAAACATTTTATTCTTTATTTTGAGAATAACATATGTTTATATTCACTTAACTTATATCATATGCCTGCATTTTAGTTGACAATGTTATTATGTAAAAGTTGATCATGCTGTTTATCTCACATTCTTTTTTTTATGTTGAACTGCACACTTATTAAAATATATTTCCTAAAATCCTAAATGTCCAATGTAATTCTCAAATGAACCACTTGTTTCTTCAACACCCATATCCTCTGACTAAAAGAGCCCTTTTTCTCTTCAAACCCTGAAGGGAAATTGTGATGATTTATTCAAAAGCTTAGAACAGGAAATAAAAGATAAGAATAAATGGAGAAGGAAACACAATAATGAATAATGTATCGTTCAGTTAATTAACTCATAAATTATATTTATAAATATATTTATTTTTTAAGAGGAACAACCAGGAATTACCCTCAGTCAAAGCAATGGCACACTCTAGTGGTTAGCTATGTTATTGCAGGCCATACCAACACGGAACTTCCCGTTCACAGTAAATGTTTCCTTCTATTTCTAACTGTAATATCTGCTCGCTCTTGTTTTGACATCCTTTTATGACCTTGTTGAAACTGCTATGTTAATCTATAAAATATGCTGGTAGTCTATTTGCTGAAAACCCGGCCGGAAGTCTATATATTCACACTTCCTGGAGGGCATGAAGCTGCAGACATGAAAACACGTCGTGAAATATAAAATATAATAAAACATCTTATATCTCATCTTCACCCCAGCTGGAGGTCACTAAATGACAGCAACTGTCTTACCTACGTTTCCTGTACTTCCCAGCATGCAACTCTTCCTTCAACACTTTCACTTTCCCTCTTGAATTATAGCCCGAGTGCTAATACTGCGTGCAAAGAAACTACACGGTGAGTTGACGATTATTAACACATTACATAATGATTCATGTGAAGCATGTAAGATAAGGGACTATATTAATGTAACGCCTCAGTTATGGTGGAGTATGACTTACTTACTTTAGGGATTCTTGAAATGAATAGACATTTGTGTGAAATCGAAACTGTTGCACTTCCATCCATCCTGTCACGTTGGTATGATCTTATGTGTTTGCGTAGCAGAAGTATGATTAACTATGTTGCTTTCATTAATGTCTTTTTTTTTAATGAGATAATCTCAAAGTGAAACCTGTGTGATGCAAAATCTCTCAATGTGTAATAAAGTCACCTTTTTGTTCACTAAGATCTGTGTCCACAGGTCTGATGTGTTATTTAAATTAGAAAATGCAAAATAAAGATACAATATCTCTGAACACATTTGTGCATTTGTGTGATATTTTGTTACAGGTGAGGGGATTTCCTGCTGTCATTGTCACCATGTTAGCAGCACCTCTCCTGTTGCTGCTGTTCCTCCCTTTTCCTCCCTCATCAGGAGCACAGCTACCAGATAAAGATCGAATTCAGGTTGACCTCAAAGCACCCCCTTTCCCCTGGGGCAGCATGAGGCTCCCTAAAACCATCTCCCCCATCCACTATGACTTGACCATCCACCCCAATCTGACCACCCTGGACTTCACTGGCGTTGTTCGTATCCAGCTGGACGTGCACGAAGACACCAACGCCATCATTCTCCACTCCAAGCATCTGCATATATCTAATGTATTGCTCTTTGCAACTGAAGGTGTGAAGCCTCTCAAGGTGTCGGAGCATCCTCGTTTCAATCAGCTCGCCCTGGAGTCAGACTCGGTGCTGGCCAAAGGGAGGAGGTATGAAGTTCAGCTGGAGTTCGCTGCCAACTTTTCTGAGAGCTACCATGGTTTCTACAAGAGCAGCTACCGCACCAGCAGTGGGGAAGTCCGGTGAGAGCAGGCTTAACGTATTTTTCTGAGTTTCTTTTGATGTTGCCGTATGTAGCATTTTAACATCACTGTATCAGTAATACATATACATGTTAATGCTTTAAAGTAAGACTATAAATGACCATAAGATTGGTCATTGATAGCCTTTATTAATACAATATTAAACTCTGCTGATGATGCTGTTTTTGGAAACACAAGGGTTGATGGGAAATGTACCTTAATTTTGAGAAACATCTCTACCAACAGTAACAGGTGTGAGACAAAAGCTATCAGTAATTTTAATGATGCCCATTGTGTATTGTAGTTTTACTGGACAAAATCAAATTTGGCAATGATATATTAATTGGTTTGGAAAATGCTAAATATAGAATCTTTAATTATCTTGTTTATATTTGTACAGCATGCCATTTTACAACCATCTATTTTCATTACTAGGGTCATGGCCTCCACGCAGTTTGAAGCCACCTTTGCTCGATTAGCCTTCCCCTGTTTTGATGAGCCCGCCTTCAAAGCCAACTTCACCATACGGATTACACGAGAGCCACGCCACATAGCCATATCCAACATGCCCATGGTACACCTGAAGGGTTGACAAATCTTTGCCTTCACATTTCTGTCAAATGTAATAATGAAACATACTACCCTGGAGAGATGTTTTATTTTTAGGGCTACCAAAAACGGTACTTATTCACCATCACCATACTGTCTGTATTTGACCTCTGCTTTGTTTTCTTTATCTCTATCACAACGCACCTGTGTTTCTTAGGTAAAAACTGATAAGCTGCCAGGCGGTTTGCTTAAGGATCACTTCGACACCACTGTAAAAATGAGCACTTACCTGGTGGCCTACATTGTGTCTGACTTCCTGTCTGTGAGCAAGACCACCCAGCATGGTGTCAAGGTGAGGAGGACTCAGAAACTGTGTATTTAGAATAGTTTGTAATTTCCTTCAAAGACACATTTCAACAGTTTATACAAGATACATTTGTTTGTTTCATATTCAGATGTTTGTAATATTTCTGTTACATTTATACTTATGAGTTTGTTCTTTTCTGTTCTGACCATCAGATTTCAGTCTACGCTGTCCCTGAGAAGATTGACCAGACAGCCTTTGCGCTGGATGCTGCTGTCAAGCTGTTGGACTTCTACGATGACTATTTTGATATTCCTTACCCATTACCCAAACAGGGTCAGTGGAAATGCATTCATTTTATTACCATGTTATTAATAGGGCTACAACTAAAGTTTATTTTCACGATCAACTAATTTGCTGATATTTTCGCGATTTAATTTTTTAGAAAAAACAAAAGAACATTTGTTTTAAAATTGTTGGATTAGCCGGTGACATGAATGTACCATATATGCAGTTGTATTGATGTGTTTGATGTTGTACTCTACAGATCTGGCTGCTATCCCTGACTTCCAGTCGGGTGCGATGGAGAACTGGGGGCTGACCACCTACAGAGAGACGGGTCTCCTCTTTGACCCTGACAAGTCCTCAGCTTCAGACAAACTGGGTATCACCAAGGTCATCGCCCATGAGCTCGCACACCAGGTAAAAAGAAAAACATTGGTGTCACAGTTAATCACGCTGTACAAAGTTGCCTTAATTATGAACATGTGATTAAAGTTGGAAGCTGCTGTCGAGCTAAGAACAAGAATTGCACAGTGGTTACAGTTCTAAACTTAGAGATGCATATGTATGTTAAATGCTGGTCTTGAACATTCTTCTTCGTTTGCAGTGGTTTGGGAACCTGGTGACGATGGAGTGGTGGAACGACCTGTGGCTCAATGAGGGTTTTGCGAAGTTCATGGAGTTTATTTCTCTCAGAGTCACCTACCCAGAGCTGCAAGTGGTGAGAGACAAGCACGTACTTTTACTTTACCTGAAACATGTAAGCAAGGGATCACAGCATAGCAGCTCTCATCCTGTAATATGCCATACAGTACAGTGTCATTTTGTTTATTCATTCTCTATTTCTGTCTTTTCAAGTGAAATTCAAAATGACTTGCATAAAAAAGAAGATGTTAAATGTACTATATATTGGCTGAATAACTCTTGTGTTATCACCTTGTTAGGTGAAACAAGCAGGCGATGAGAGCGGTTTTGATTATTTTGAAGTGGTTAAGGGTGCCTGTAAAACATTTCAACATTTTGTAAAGTCTATCCTGAACTCCTCTTACTCGCTTACCTCATCTCCTCCTTCCGTTCTCATTCCTCTCCCGCCTCTCTCCTTTTCCAGGATGACTTTTTCTTGGGGAAATGTTTTGAGGCCATGGAGGTAGACTCTCTCAGCTCCTCCCACCCAGTCTCCACTCCCGTGGAAAACCCCACGCAGATCCAGGAGATGTTCGACGACGTTTCATACGACAAGGTCAGCTTCATTCTATCAAAGGACCAACCATTTACTGATATACAGTATAATAATTGCATTTATCAGAAAGCCTTACCCAAAAAACAAAAGTAAAAAAGAAACATCAGATTGTTAATTTCCTACATGCCTGTGTTTTCATCTGATTTTAGGGGGCATGTATTCTGAATATGCTGCGAGACTTCCTGACTCCTGAGGCTTTTGAGATTGGCATCATCCGATACCTGAAGCGCTACAGCTACCAAAACACCGTCAACAGCCACCTGTGGGAGAGCCTGACCAATGTGAGCCATGCATTCGAGCCTAAAACGAGTGTTGCTGCCTGTTTTTCAGCTTGACATTTTATCATTAGCCCTCAAGTATTACAGATGTCAGTGTGACACTTGACAATGGCTGTGTTTGGGATTGAAAGCTGAATGTGTCCCCCAGTGTTGTTGTTTGTAAAAGTTGTGTTTGCTCTCCATCAGGTCTGCAACTCAGATGATCTGGACGAAGGCCGGATTAAGCACAAAGAATTCTGCTCTAAGCGTGACGTCCAGTCTGGAGCCACTGTAAGTTTCAATTATTTTAAACCATTTTGAACCAATACTCTGTCTTAGCAAACAGTCCCTAAGAATTATAATACAACAATAACATCTGCAAACAGAATTTAATTGTTTTACAATTTTACCCTGCTACACAAATTCCATATCACATACTAGCGTTATATAATTATCTCATGTAGCTGTATCACAAATCTGTCACTTATAATGATGTTAAATCATTTATTGTGGATCTAAATTTGTGTTTGTGTTTGTGCATACGCAGAAATGGTACTCTGGTGATGAGCTAGATGTCCGGGCCATCATGGACACCTGGACGCTGCAGGAGGGCTTCCCATTGGTCACTGTGGAGGTCAGAGGTCGGGAGGTCAGGCTCAGTCAGGAGCGTTACCTGAAGACAGACGACTACTCTCTCACTGAAGGGTAACAAGTCAAAATAATCCACATTATTCAAGATTATGGCAGATATCAAAAGTGTCAAATATACGTCATTTCAAAAGTCCCTTTTCCTGCATTTAAAATACATTTTAAAGCCACAGTCTCATACTCTACACTACCATCAGATTGTGACAAAGGAAAAACAATGAAATACAGCACGCTGCAAACCGTTATAGCTCGTAAAAATCCAATAATTAATTGATAGGTGTCATTTCTGATGATTATGTAATAGTGTAGCAGTAATTGAAGCATGCAACAGTGATTATTTTGACTAGCTTAACATTAAGTTACAGTAATTGTTACAAGCTATTATTTTTTGGGGTGTATCTTCCCAAGTACAGTAGTTTGATATTTAATTGTTCATTTTATTCATTATCGTGGGTTGGTGTCAGATTTCTTTGGCAGATCCCTCTGACCTACATGACCAGCACCTCCAGCACCGTGCACCGCTTCCTGCTCAAGACAAAGACCGGTGAGTGCATTGCCCAGTGTGAAGAGGCTGATTTTCAGATGAACATTCATAACATCCATTCATAAAACAGTATTACATCTACAAGTCCTCATTGCTCATCTCTACTCCTCCTCCATGCAGATGTCCTGTACCTGCCGGAAGAGGCGGACTGGGTGAAGTTCAACGTGGACATGAGCGGCTACTACATGGTGCACTACGCAGGCGAGGGGTGGAACTCCATCATCAAACTGCTGCACCACAACCACACGGCCCTGAGCAGCAACGACCGCGCCAGCCTCATCCACAACGTCTTCCAGCTGGTCAGGTCTGTTAAAGGTCACCTATTATGCAAAATCCACTTTTTCATGTCTTTTATACATCAACATGTGTCCCCTCTGTGTAAAGAGATTCTGAAAGTTTCAGGAAAAAAGATTCTCTCTTTTTGTCCTGATCCATTTATATAAAAACCTGTCTGAAAATGAGCTGATCAGATTTTGGCCACTTTATGATGTCATCATTTGGCTTGTGTAACCATTAGCCAATAACCAACCAAGGTAACCCCCCCCCCCCCACCTTATCACATGAATCTCCTCCTAGAGCACCATTAGCCGCGTTCACACCGGAGTACTTTTCCCCGTACTTTTCGCGTTTAGTTCCGTTAGTACCCCTTATGTCGCGTTCACACCAAAAAGAGTACTTAGTGCCGGGAACTTTTACCCCCATTTTTAGTGCCTGCTGAGAGATGGTACTATCCTGGGGGGAAAAAGTGCCCCAGTTCTGATTGGCTGGGCGAATTGCAAACCACGCCCCGTAAAACTCTGAAATGTTTTGTAGAGCCGCCATTTTATTATCCTCGCATTAGCATTATTAGCATTAGCATTCACCCAACGCACAAACTCAGAGAGACTAACTTATGGCAACACAAAAGAAAACATGGGAGCGGTGGAGATGAGGAGGTGTCGGCGTTCTGGCGATTTACTCGGAAGGCTTCAGTAGAAGCTGCTGGGAGTCCCAGCAGCTTCTACTGAAGCCAGTCCCCAACTCCGGGGACTTCCGGCCGGGGACTCCGGGTGGCAGTATCTATACATCCATGGGCAGTATACGCCGTGAGGTTGTTTGCGGCCTGCCAGTAAACCCAAAGCAGAAGAAGACGAAGTGACGTCAGCGGCTCATTTGCGTAATCTTCCCTCAGGGAACTTATTCCGGTGTGAACGCGATCTGTACTAAATGCCCTGGGGTAATTAGTGCCGGGGCACTAAGTGCCGGCACTAAGTACGGCAAAGTACTTGGTGTGAACGCGGCTAACCAAATGTCTCTCAGAGGGGCGTGGGGAGTGGCTCCTTATTTTCATCTAAAGTAACAGACAGAGAATCAGCACTTTTGAAACAGGGCTGAAACAGAGGGGATTATGGGATGCCACAATGCATGATCTGTTTGGTATTTCAAAACCAACGCTTCAGAGACTAGTTTTGTATATAACTGAGAACTATAATATATTGATGAAAAGAGTATAATAGGAGACCTTTAAGAGATCGGATAAATATTTTTAACATGCTGTTTATCCTGCATCACACAATTCCTAGCTCACAATTCCCATACAAATATTTTTTTGTGCTAACAGAGGTTGTCATTACTGTAACCTGAAATGTAATGTTTGCTAATATGGACCAAACTGCCGCATGGTGTTGATTTGAAGCCTTCCATGTGTGCTACAGCACGGAGAAGGTGAGGCTGGACACGGCTCTGGAGCTGTCTCTGTACCTGTCCAAGGAGACCGAGATCATGGCTGTGACTCAGGGCTTTGGAGAGCTTGTGCCTCTGTACAAACTGATGGAGAAGAGAGACATGGCTGCTCTGGAGAATCAGATGAAGGTAAGTGAAGGCAGCATTCGAGGCACAAATCAGACGATATAACATTACAAAGAGAAGAGAGTCTTAAAGTTAAAACTACTCTTAATGGAGATTCATGATGTCACACTGCTTGAAATGTTTTTGTGACATTCAAACTTGTCTATGAATGTAATAATCCCACATTTCAATGTTAACACCCACTTAGAGCAAAGTAGTAATGCGAGTGAAAGGCTAAAGATTCTAGCCATGCTGGATGTTGGCATTAGTCGGCCCTTATTGACTTTATCAAGCTTGTGTGTGAGAGAAAACAACTCTGATTGGTTGTTCAGTTCAAGCTTTTCTATGCACAAGAAGATAAACGGATGTCAGGGAAGCAACCAAACAACTACAGTAAAGAGGACACACACATAAGGATTCATTTCTCCTCAATTGAAATCATCTGATTATTCTCTGATATTTTCACAACCCATTGCCATCTGAAATGAAGCCAAGTGGTGAAAGAAAGTGAAAATGGATGGCAAACACTGCTCTGCTTGTCATCATGAATGTATTATAACAATGGCTTGTATATCCAGTCATTCCCCTTTTTGAATGACAACTACTCACTACAACCACCTTCTGGTATATACTGATATGTGCTAGTCAGCCATTCGCTGTAGTGTATTCAGATGCCATTGTTCCGCCCAGACACAGATGCCATAATGGTGACATAAGACAACAGTACGACTCTATATAGCTGCAGGAGGTCAAACATTCCACAAGGAACATATTAACTGCTAGCGCTTCTGTGTAGCAGGAGAAGTTTTCACACTGAGTCATGGTTCTTGCATAAGCTCTATAAAAGTGTTGTACAGTTAAGTGCTGCTTGTGACTGCTCGAAGTTCCTCTCAGGCATTGAACCAGAATACAACACAAGTTTGGGAGTCATACAGTTGAAAAAAATAGTTATTGTTTTGTATTATCATAGTTTACTTTCTAATAAAAAAATACCCAATGATGTTAGTGTTATAACTAACAATTATTTTCAACATTTCTTTGACTGATTGACATGTTCCTATTGCTTGTTTTGTCCAAACCAGTCAACCAAACGGAACCAAACAAAATGTAATTTACAAAGCTGGGGTTATATCTTTGATTCATAGTTGTTTTTAAAACTGCGTGTGTCTCTCAGGACTACATTGTGGATTTGTTCCGGGGGCTGATTGGCCGGCAGGAGTGGACTGACTCTGGATCAGTGTCTCAGCGAGTGCTGAGGAGCTACCTGCTGCTTTTTGGCTCCTACAGGAACTACGCTCCCTGCGTGTCAAAAGCCACTGAGCTCTTTACCAAGTGGAAGGAGTCTGACGGCACCATGAGGTCAGATATTTGTTAAGGATTCTTCTTAAAAGATGCTGCCAGAGCTGAGGCTTTAATATGAAGTATTTCACATTTAAAGTTTGTCATATAATTGTTATTGATCCTTGTCTGTTTTTAGCCTCCCTGTCGACATCACCATGGCGGTGTTTCTGATTGGAGCTCGAACACCAGAGGGGTGGGACTTCCTGTTGGAGAAGTACCGCAGTTCCCTGCAAATGTCTGTAAAGAGCCGCATGAAATCTGCAATGTCCACCAGTCCTCTGCCGGAGAAGCTCAAGTGGTGGGTACATCATATATAAATATCACACTCCTGCCAGCATTAGGTTTCTCGTTCTTCTTACCCTTATTTGTTTTTCCTCAGGATGATGGAGCACAGCCTCTCCAATGTGGTGATGAAGACTCAGGACCTCCCGGACGTGATGGTCTCCGTCAGCAGGAACCCCCGCGGCTACAAAATGGCCTGGGACTTCCTCCGGGCAAACTGGCACATCCTGATCAAGAAGTCAGTCAGCCCCTCATGCATTTTCACTCATCATTTACTTTCATGTCTTAAGTTTTGCAAATTTGTGTGGAATCCAAGTTTGTTAGTCAAAATTGTTTAGCATGTCATGTAGACATTTACACTAAACGTCAATATTGTGGTTGACAGGTGAGAATTTAATTAGAACTGTAGCTCAAAACCATAGAGCCCGAGCATACTTGTTTGTTCAATGAAATGTGTGTATTCTGAACGCTGAACTTTGTCTCTGTTTGCTCCAATATTATAGATTTGAATTGGGATCCAGCACTGTTTCATTCATGGTGACTGGGGTGACTAGCCAGTATTCTACCAGGGAGATGTTAGAGGAGGTAAGGAAGGCTGTGTCCATACTTTTGGTCGAATTGTGTGTCTATATAAAGTGTGGATTGTTGCCTCAAAAACCTTTTTTATTTTAAATGCATTTTATTATTTATTCATGTGAAAAAAAGCATACATTCATCTCCCAGATAGGCCTATGTGCTGCTCTAGGTCTTAATCTTGTATTGAGATAAATGTGGATTATTTAAAGTCAAGTCAAATATATATTCTAAGTCCACTGGCTCTGCTTTCAGGTGAGAAGCTTCTTCGGCTCTCTGGATGAGGAGTCAGGCTCAGAGATGAGATGTATCCGGCAGGCCTACGAGACCATCGAGGATAACATCCGCTGGATGGACAGAAACCTTCCTCTGCTGCAGGCCTGGCTGGACAAACGCAGACCCAAAACTCTGCATGAGGATCTGTAGCTTCAGAGGAAACAAAACAAGTCTGGAGTGGAAAATCAGTTAGCTAAAGGCAGAAACTAAATCTAAGTCAGACCCGAATCCCAAAGAGGATGCCTTTTGTATTTGAACACAAATCCAAGCAGCTTGTAATTACACTTGAATATTAACACCACTGATTGCTGGCTAGCACTCCGTAAACATAAAGATACAAAAAAGAAAAGAAAAAGGTTATCTCAATACATATAATTAATTTCCCTGATCTGATGAGGTGTCAGCACTTAAGACTTACTTTCTGCCACCTCTCCAAACTGAAGCCTAGAGCTTTGTCACTAAGGGTTGTTCAGTGTGTTTCTCAGGTTGAAAGAGATGTATGTGATTGTAGATGTTAAGCCCCCCTGTGTGTGTGTGTGTGTGTGTGTGTGTGTGTGTGTGTGTGTGTGTGTGTGTGTGTGTGTGTGTGTGTGTGTGTGTGTGTGTGTGTGTGTGTGTGTGTGTGTGTGTGTGTGTGTGTGTGTGTGTGTGTGTGTGTGTGTGTGTGTGTGTGTGTGTGTGTGTGTGTGTGTGTGTGTGTGTGTGTGTGTGTGTGTGTGTGTGTGTGTGTGTGTGTGTGTGTGTGTGTGTGTGTGTGTGTGTGTGTGTGTGTGTGTGTGTGTGTGTGTGTGTGTGTGTGTGTGTGTGTGTGTGTGTGTGTGTGTGTGTGTGTGTGTGTGTGTGTGTGCTGTTTCCTTTGTAAGGTCTGTGTTGAAGTTTTTCATTCATGCTGCGTTATCTCTGCAGAAACATCATAAATAGTGTACAGTGTTGTGCAAATAGTTAATGTTGCACAAAATAAATAAATTGCTAATTAGATATTTATTTTTCTCTCATATTTTGGTACCACACCACTTCTTACATTACACGAAAAAGAGGAAGATGCCTAAAAGAGGCGGAAAGCTTCTAACTGCTTCTTCTGAATGATTTTATAAAACGTACTTCTCCTAATTCTATTGTTAGATGCCTATTTCAAGGTTGTTAAACCTTCATTTACATACATTTTCCTGCAACTCAAGATCACACTGCTGTAAGATCCGATCTGATACAGTCGTGCGCTGTTTGCTTGAGTTTCCACTGTCGAATCAGTGTCAAACATGAATTCTGACCCCACTGTTCCTCCTTGGTAGCATTTTCAACAATATTGAAAGATGACAAAAATAAATTGCACTATAAGGAATGTGTTGTTACAGAAAGTCTGTGGTTTGTTCAACACAACAGTGAATGTGTTATTTTGTAAGGACAACATGTGTTTGTTAAATAAAATATTGGAAAAATAAAGATAATTTGACCTAATTCAATTTGTATTCCAGTTATTGTATTATTTGCATCTTTATAGTACTGGTAATCCTTGCATGTTATGCTCACAGAGATGTATTGATGCACCTTTGTACTTTTCACTCCTCTGATGAGCGAGTCAAATACTTTTTCAGCAGTAAAGATGACATTTCCTGGTTTGTGGGGTCATGTAACAATCATTGGGTTCACCTGTCTTTCTATTCACTCACACAGACAAACACACTGGCACAGCATAAACTCTAACATGACAGGGGGCTTAACAAAGTAGTGTGAGTATTTGTGAATGAAAGCACCCATTTTTATGTGCGAACATCACTTTACTTACAAAATGTACCTAGTTGCTCTGCAGATTTACTAAGTTAAAAAATAACCTCTGCTTTCATAAGATGTTATCTAGACTGGGGTTTGACGACTGGAAATCTTCAACGGAACGTTTGTTTAACAGATGGGAGTTGAGTTTCATCACAGCATACTGAGGCCTAAAACTAATTTCTGACAATCCATTTTTGTCACTGTCTCTTTTGCAAGTGTCCCAACTATGTAAAGGTGAGGGTAACCATTTGACTCAGGTCCAAAACCAATGAGTTAATTGAGACAATACACTTTCCAGGATTTCATGTTTTCACCCTTATCACTTTAACCTGGCTCAATCTCTGCCTACCGTTTCTATACAATTTTACAAAGAAGGACAAAGTGCTGTGGCAGCTGTCTGAGATAAAATATGGAAGAACAGTATCATCACTTGCCACTCAATCTCTATAGAAAAGTTGACCGCTCTTCCTCTGCTGCTCTTGATTCTGTGGCTTACCTCTCCCATGAGGCCTTGTGGAGAAAGGTAGCTGTTTCTTTAAATCTTCGAGTGTTGCCATAAATTCTTCTTTAGGACCTTTAGCACGAACTAATAAAACACACCGTTCCAACTGATAAAACACGTATACATTCATAAATGTGAGCATTTATTCATGCACATACCACTTCTGTATTACATAAACACTGACGCTGTTGATATAACAAAGACTGCTTCATTTTCTGAGGGTGTATCAGGGGCTGACAGACAAGCTGGGCTTTGCACTTAGTCCAGCACATGCTCACACGCACACACACACACACACACGCACGCACGCACGCACGCACGCATGCACGCACACACACACACACACACACACACACTGCCCCCTCATCAGCACACCCACAATAGAAACTGCTCTCTGCTCCAGTGAGTTTTCCCCACCCAGTCGTACACCTGAGGAGAGCCGTCTCTGGACAGGAGGTAAGAGGCCGAACTTTGTCTTTCTGCTTCCTGGTTTTGAAATGTCCTGTAAATTACATCAATTCCTGAAAACCGATCAAATTTTGTGAAATGACCTCAAATTAAACACATAGTAGCCGTTTATTTGTTTAGTCCGTATTAACAGACTGGGCCCCTGTTCCAATATGCCTACTGATCATGTGTTGTGAATTTTGACCTCTCCTACCGCTCATTGTGTGGCCAGTAATCTATTCAGTTTATAAACATGGTAATGTTAGACCATCTTTGAAATGTAAATAGAGTTTTTGTTCTCCTATGAGGATATTCAACATCCCTTTAGGGACATAATCCACAAAAGAGTTCAGGTGAAATGAGGAAAAAGTTCAGTTAACTCTGATCAAAATGTGTCTCCTTTTGGCAGATGATACTATAACTTTGAGATATGCTGTTAATTTCCACTTCAGAGGACATGAAATGAACGGACCACGTACCAGCAGTTACAATTTGTTAACAGTGACCTGGTTATGGTGTCGGTTACTTGTTATTCAAGCAGTGTTTCCAGTTATCTATTGACCTTGTATCAGTATACGAGGGGACTATATGCCAGTGATTGCCAAACTGATCAGTATCATTTTTTGTTTGTGGCCTTTGAAAACAATCTATATTCAAGAACAGCCCTTTTTTCAGATTGTGACAATGCATTTTCCATGTGATCTAATGAGTTTTTAAATGGTCCTGGTAGCTTAAGAGCTCAACCCTGACAAATTAAAAAATAAAAGCATGCATACTGCGGTGTTGTTCTTGAAAATCCTGAAAAAGTTAATGAAATTTAGACCGAATGCTTTACTGTACTTTGATATCGATGCTTCTGGCCCTCCTTTACCTCAATATTCCAGTTGATCACCTGACAGGTTCCCAAGCACAGTGGAACAAATGTAATCATACAATCTTTGCGAAATCATACCAATCAGTGCAGGGAGACTGGATGACCGTAAACTGTATGAGGTTACTGCAGGGCAAACTGTTTTCCAATGCTTCCAATGTACTTTTGTGGATCTATTATCTCTCTGCCTAGGCAGGCAATACAATATCATGAGGTCTTGAAAACATTCATGGGTTTTAGGTTCAAAGTTTATTTTCTGTTGATCCAGGAAGAGGAATACTAGGCAAGCAATGTAATTGTGTAAAATGTTCTCTAATTAAGCAAGTAATGAATAGCAAGTCAGTGTGCGATGTTTTTTTCCTGTGTCCCCTTCAGGTTTGTTCTGTTTCTAACTCGACTTCCACTTTGGACCATTGGTAGTTTATCCACAGAGCACCGAGGATGTCTTTGAATATTCCCATTCTAGAGTAAGGCACCGATCTCTTCATATATTTGTTTATTTGATGATTAATTCAGCCATTTTCTTCTCTCTTTGCTTCCTTACTTTGATTGATAACTATTAAAAGTTAAAATATTGCAAATGTTTTTTTTCTCTTCATTCAACCTAAAAAAAGAGAAATACCGCAGTGCTAACTCTTCTAATTACCACAAACCGATGTTTTATGTTGGTCTATGTGTTTCAGATTTAACATAATTTTTTGTTAAAAGAAAAAAGTCTTAAATGTTTATAAATCCTCACCGGCCATCCTATTAGGAACACCTTGCTAGTGCCATTTAAGACATCCCTTTGCGTTCAGAACTGCCTTCATTATTTGTGAGTTTATTGATGATAGCATCACGCAGTTGCTGCGATCTTTAATCCCCCGTTACTCCCAAACTAAATGTGCTTTCTTGGATTGAAATCCAGCTGTGTAGACCATTTGAGTAGAAAAAACCAGAGATGATAAAAGCGTTATAACATGGCGTGTTATACTGATGGAAGTAGCCTTTGAGGGTGAGTACCCTGTGATAGTTAACATGGTTAGCAACCATACTCAATTGGTTGCTTATTGAGGGGCCTTAAGTGTGACAAGAGACTTTCCCGCAGACTTTACACCACAACCAGCAGCCTGAACCAGTCATACAATCCAGGATGTATCCAAAGCATTCATGTTGTTTATTTCAAATCTGACACTTCCATCTGAATGCAGAGCAGATATTGAGATGAATCAGACAATCCTCAATTGTCCACTTTTGGAGATCCTGTGCCGATTGTAGACTCAGTTTCCTTTCCTTTGCTGAGGGAAGTGACACTTAGTGTGGTGTTCTGCTGCGGTAGACAATCTACTTTAATGTGTTGTGCACTCAGAAATGCGATTATGGACACCTTGGTTAACGCAAAGGAGTTCTTTCTTTCGTTTAAAAGCAATTAACCTTAGAGATTATAGTGCTTGAAAATCTGAGCAGTTTTTGAATTACTCAAAGCAACACCTTCAAAATCAGGTAAATCACCTATCTTCACCATTCTGTTGCTTGGTTTTATGTTCAGGGGCCTCATTTATAAAGGGATATACGCTCAAAAAATGGCGTACGCCAGTTTCTACGCAATGTTTGCGATTTATAAAATACTAACTTGACGGGAAAATGTGCTGTCCTCCACGCAAACTCTAACCCATGCGTACGCACTAAGCACACAAACGGGAGAGACGAGAAACTGCGACACCGTTGGCAGAAGGAAGAATGGAGAGAAATATGTGGAAATAATACCATAAATAAAATGTTACCTCTCATTTATCAAATATGAAGAATTCATTTTCAAACATTGATTAAAGCCAATCTTAAAATGATTAAACAAACGCCTGTTTGAGACTCCTCAGTGCACACAAAAACATAACTTGGAGAAATAAATAAATACGGATATGCTATTTAAAACCACCTCGAATATGTTGTGTTAATGTTATGAAATGTTTTCTCATAAATGATGCGGTAAGCAGGAGGACAGAATTACGTCTAAACTGACGCCGTTTTGCATTTCTATAGGTTGTAGATACGAGCATGGTTTTATATACTATCACGTTTAATCGTGTTTTATGCCGTTTGCCAAGACTTGATAAGTCGCTCGTAAAACACAGGAGGTATGGAAACTAAGAACACCGTGGTAAATTGTACAGCTAATATAACACAACACATTGTATTTCCTTTAACTGGTGGATTATGGATATATAGTTGCTGCGACAGCTGGAACACAAACCACAACACAATACAAACAAAAATAATTCAGATCCAGTCGTCATGACTCCACTCCGGAGGGATTCCCCGATCATTTCTTAGTTTCTCATCAAGGGGGGGTCTCCTGTCCCCGGTACAAACACACTGCCTGAGGAAGGTTATGTGTATTTTTTTTGTCATTAACTTTTTTCGGACCACTTATTTATTTATTTTGGTGACGATCCGACCTCCATGCTGCTACTCTGGTTCAAACTGCATCCACCAAACAATATGATTTATCTCCACCTCCCCAAAATAACCAAAATCTGACACGGTGCGAGATGTCTTTTTTAGCTGTTCTATCGTAATTTCCTGCGATCTTCTTCATGCAGTCAGTCAGAATGAATGAATGAATGGGCGTTTCTTTGACTATGTATAGGCAAATATGGGCGTTACGAGTCGATTGTGATTTATAAAGGGAAACAGGCGTAGGGAGTGCCGTACGCACTTCCCTCGCCGGTACGCAATGTTTTGTGAATCGGAAAATGGCGGAACATTTATGTACCTATTTTTGTGCTTTGTACTACGTAAGCAACCTTCCTACGTCAATCCTACGCAAGGCGTTATAAATGAGGCCCCAGGTCATGTGTAGGTGAGTTTAATTGCTGTAACGTGATAGGCTGATCAGATTTGTGCTTTAACGAGCAGCTGAACAGGTGTTCCTAATGAAGTAGCTGTGAGTATATTTTTGGTTTTTGTTGCTGTTTCCTTTTCATGTCGACCTTTATTGGCTTTTCTCTCCATCTTCCTCTGTCTTGTAACCATCTCCATCTTTCTCATCCCCCTCTCCCCTTTCTCCTCCTCTTCAAGGATCTTCCTGGGCATCCTGGGCTTCGGCCTCTCCATCATGTTCTGCACGACCTTCTGCAGGGTGTGCAGTCGCTTCAGGGAGGAGCAGATCGATCGGGAGGCGGCGAGACGGAGTAACCAGGAGCTGCGCCCTCCGATATATTTCATCCCTTTCCATGGGAGCCTGTCACAGCACGACAGCGAAGACGTCCCAGGCATGCCCCGATACAGCCAGGAGCTTTACCCCCCATACAACAACGCTGCCTTCTGTGGGCCCCCACCTTCCTATAATGAGGTGATTTTAAACAAGCCAAGTGTTTGTCTGTGGCATTTCCTGTCCCTGAAACCCCAGATTTACTGTAAAATCTGGATTTGAACTTTTTGTTTCTTTTTGTGTATTTCAGCTGGAATTGAAGCCGGATGATCTTCCCCCTGCTTACACAGATTATAGCGTTCCTGTGTATCCCCTCCCATCTCCACATCACATGGTTCAACCACAAACACCACACTAAGACGGGACCACCCTCCTGTGCCTTTGTTTATCGCTCTGGAGTCGATAATGTTTCAAAGATTATTGATGTGACCTTTTTTATTATTGTTATAATTCATGTAATGATGGTAGAGAGGGGATAACATCTGTATACTGTAAATGGCACCAGGTTTCAGAAAACAATGCCATGAGTATGCTGCAATCTCTCAAGGCCAATTCCATTTTTAATCCAATATTTTATTCTATGCCCCCACTTGTTATTCTCTCCACCATGGAAACCATGCTTTTGATCCTGTCTGTTTGTCTTGTGTTTCATTAGCAGGGTCTCAATAGCCACTTTACAGGTATGTAAGTAATAAGTGTGAGTTCAGATGTGAATGTGAAACCAATTATGCCACTATGTGGCCATTTATAAAGCACTTTGTTTTTGCTCAGGTCTCCTTTACCCTATGTATTAGTGCCTGCAGAGAATTTGGATCAAACATTTTCTCCATATATTTGGATAGGCTATTTGTTTCCTGATTGCCAGAGTCTTGTAGTTGTGTCCTCCAAAAAGTGGTATAACTCTTAAAGGTATTTGATATTCCTTCTGTGCAATCGTAAAAAATGTAATCACATTCTGCTGATAGGTGGCACAACAACACAATTAATTGAAATGGCCATAGCTCAATGTTCACAAGTCTTTGATTCTTATTGTGCACAATTTATCCTCGTAAGAAAACACATTTTTATAGATAGGGTTCAGATGATGATCATGATGATCCAGATGCTGATTCACATTTCTTTTTACAAAAAACAAGTGAAGAAGAGAGGAAAAAGGTGCTCTTAAGAGCTTTGTATCTTTTTTGTGTTTTATGTATAATGTAATATGTAAGACGGATCTGAGGAGCAGCCTTGGGACAAAAAGAGAGACACATGTATGAAAGTCCTCTATTTGTTTTCAGCGACTGAAAGATGTATTGATGTGTTCAGATAGACCTGGTAGAGCTGAGGTTTCCTGTATATTTTTAATATGATTTGGTGTTGTCTTTGTATGTTAAGAGTCATGTGCTGAAATGGGACCATGTTCTTTTCTTTCTCTGTGTTCTTTTTTTACAAATCCACAAATCCTCTGCCTCTGTATGTCTACAGTCTTTAAAAATCACGTGAGAAGTATTGTTTAAACCACCAGCTCTGAAACCAAGAGAGCTGCTTTTTTTGTGAGAATTCTAGAGACTTTGATCAGAGGCTTTAATTAAACAATGACAATACTGTAAATGAAATGTGAAAATGACTGAATCAATTGTTTAAATCTCAGGACAAAATGTGAGTTATATATATAGAAGCTGGTTTACAAACAGATCCCTGAATGACAAAGCATTGTGTCACTCCAAAGATATGTCTGTGATATCAAGAGAATATGGCTAAATCGAAATCTACCTTTATGTATACATATTTAATTTTATACCATGTGTAAATGTAAGATGTTCATTATGACTTCATGTGTGCATATTATTTTTTGTTTTTGTTTTCAATAAACACAGCACTGTAATTCAATCTGTTGTATATCATTGGACTCCTTTGTTTACTTCCATAACATAAGACCATCACAATGTAACACTCATGCTTCTATTGGCTGGCGCTCACACATTGTACATGCACGTGATCCGCTAAGGGGCGGAACATCTCTTAGCGGTTGACGAATCACAACAGATCCGTCCAGCTAATCAATCAGAGCAGACTGGGCTCTGGTTTCAGACAGAGGGTGAAAAGAGGAGCTGCAGCACAGGCAGTATGAGAAAAATAAAGAGCTTTTGGAACATTAAAGCATGGAGACATGTCACAGTAGAGACACACAATACATATGGCCCTGAAAAGGATCATATTTGGGCCCCTTTAACATTCAGGGATGACCGAGGAGATTGGGTTAGAGGCAGTGTACATCCTGGTCAGATTGCCAGTCATGAGCCATCCGGTTTGACTTGTTATTATCATTTGTCTTCAATCCACCAGAGTCCACTCTTTAACCAAAACTATGACCTCAGATAAGTTTAGGCAAGCCTGGATTTATAAGATCTTAACATCTGTGCCTTTTTTACTGTTTCTTCATTATGCCCTGACCTTAAACTACTAAAGGTTACAAGGAATGGTTGGGGTAGAGTCAAAAATACACATTTTCTTTCTTGCAAACACACATTACCTCTTAATTTCATTTCATTTAAAAGGTATGGCTACAAATGATTCTGCATCTTATTCTAGTTATTCCTTCATAATCTTTATGTTCATGTACATTTCTCTGACAGAGCCAAGTGAAAGCCAGAGTTCATAGAATGGCAGGATGTCTAGAAAGTCACTTGTGTGGTCAGGCTGACATACAGCCACACATGGTCCGACGTATCCTAGACAGCCCCTCCTGATCTGTAATCCTATATACAGTATGTCGGGGGTGGACTTGAATATCCCTTTCTCTGTTTAACGGCAACTGGATGTGGTGTCGTCTTCCAGCCTCTATAAGGGAAAATCTTCTTATACATATCTTTACTACGCAGCACTTACACTGCGCAGGGGGTATATGTGTGTGTGTGTGTGTGTGTGTGTGTGTGTGTGTGTGTGTGTGTGTGTGTGTGTGTGTGTGTGTGTGTGTGTGTGTGTGTGTGTGTGTGTGTGTGTACGCATATCTTGCTTCCTGAACTCGTTTTGGATTCAGAGTGTAATGTTCACACTTACACACATAAATTGTGTTTGTGACGAGGAAAGGCTTCTATGATTGTAGAAAAAGTGCACATTATACACTAGAGGGCAGTGCAGGTGTGGAGACTCATGCTCTGTTTACAGTCAATTCTTCTTTTCATTATGTCTAAACTGTAAAAACTGAAACGTTGACTTTAATTGAATGTATTATGTCAACAGATTTCACATAGCGGCATCATGTTAGTTTGAAGCAATAATATTAAGTTTATATAAATTATATTAGGTTAAACTAAATATTATTGCTTTCAACTAACCTAATACAGTTATGTGAAATGTGTTGACATAATACACTTAACTAAAGTGAACGGTTCAGTTGATTCAGTGTAGGTCATTCTTACATGTATTCAGCCTACAGCTAAACCACACTGTGGCTGTAAGTGTCTTGCTCAAGAGAAGCCATGTGTAGGATTCACGTCTGCTAATAATTTGTCTGAAATGCTGTTTTATGTGTTAAAAAACAAACAATATTCCAATAAGCATGCATTTATTTTACAGCAAAAATGTGTAAAGCTTCTATTGGTAAATTCTTGAATGTTAAAACTCTTGTAGTTTACTGTTATGTGTTACACATTGTATGGCTTTTTCCAGTTTTAACCAGTCTTACCCCTCTCATCCTTCCTCTCTCCCCCCCGGCCCCCTTGATGGGGGCCCCTGAGAAGCAACACAAAGCATTTCCTCCCTGCAATAGTATTTCACTTAACTGGCTCTGAACTATTGGGTGAGATGATATACTCTGTATAGCTTTAAGTGATTCGTTTGCTGATTCATTTTCAGGGAACCTGGAGTTGAAATCTTACACTAATTTAAAATCCTATTCTCCATGTGTGTGTGCATACAGTGTATTGTTTGTGTTTATGTACTTATGTTTTTGTACATATCTGTGAGTTTTTTTCGTGTATAATCTCATGTGCATTCATTTCTCTACTCTTCCTACATCTTTTTTTGTTGTTAAATTACCATTCATACATGTACGCTTAAATCAAAGGGGAAAAGTAAGAGTTCTATTCAACATATATTTGATGATTCTCTGTCCATTGGCAGGATTTGATATGGTCTTTGTGATCTGGATTACAATTTAAAACATTGTTTTGTGGGTTTTAATAATACATTAACTTTCTATGTGCATTTGTATTTATAAAACATATTCGGGCAGTTTCACATGTGGGCAGTTTCAGAAAGAAAGAAAGAAACCTACAAAGAAATCTGGCCATCATTGCTGAAATAATACACTATCAAAAGTTAATTTTGGTTGTGACTGTTTTGAGAAAAGGTAACACATTTCCTGAGTGAGTTCTGCTGAGTTTGAGTTTGAATACTGCTGCTCTGGAGGAGACATGTGGGATCCTGGAATAGATTTAGAGGAAGAAAACCCCCCGAGGGCTGCAGAAGCAGAGAGAGGCACAGATAATATGAAAAGGAATGGATGGGATGTATTTGTCTCTGTGCATGTGAGCATGTCGGCCAAAGAAACCATTGTCCGAGCGGGAACGCTGCTGAAGGTATGTGTTTGTGTACTTAAGGCCGCTCTGCTGAATGATGGCTGAGCACAGTTGCTTTTATTACCAGGATGACCCATCTCTCTCCTCTCCTTCCTCCCATTCTCTCTATTCCCCCTCCCCCACAGCTCTGGGATATTAATACACACTGGAGAGCCCCTAGCATTACAGGCTTTCCCTGTACTCCTATCTTTGTCTGGCCTTCATCACCACTGGGGCCTTGACTCTTTATTCGAAGACTCTTAACTGCCTTTGTCTGCATCTGTTTGGCAACACTGCATGTCTCAGGCAATATCATCAAAACTACAACCTTAAACACACAAGCTTTTTGAAGGCAAAATCATTGCTGTGGGATTCCTAGAGGTGTCTAAAGAATTAGATTTTTATGGTGAATTAAGGGATAAAAGTGTTTAGAATACAACAAAGCAATATAAAGCGCATTATAAAACCTGCTTTCACTCCTTCTCTTAAGTGTTATTTAACTTTTTATATCAGACCAACACCAACTACATAACCATATTGAGGTCTGAAATTCGCAATTCTTTTTTATGGAGGATTTAAAAATAAATCAATTCCGGTTTATGCTTTAAAAATGTAAACAAATGGTTGTTTACACAAGCGGCAGGGAAAGGCTTTCACTTTGTTACTATCATGATGTTATGATCTGATGTTGTTTTCCTTCATGTGAAAAGAGTGGAACCTATCCGATCACGCCATGTTTTGACATGATGATGAATATAGGGGGGGGGGGGGGCATTCAGGAATGTCAGAGGTCAATAGAAAACAGGAGTGGTGACCAGAGAGGAGGCCACGGTGGAGGTCAACAGATATCATCTTACACAGGGGCAGGGGCTTTCCTCCTGCACTATTATTGAGGTTGATGGATAACTTTAGCAAGTGAAACCAACTTTATAGTCCAGAAACGTTGCTTCAAAAATAGACCCCTGATTAAAGGATTTCCTTCCATTGCCTACAAAGGGTTTTCCTTATATAGCCCCCAGCTTACAGAATGACTACACATGTTTGGTGTCACCTATTGACATTTTGCAAATAGCGCAAACTTGAAGAACTGAGGTAATGTCTCTTCTTTGCTGAAGTAAGTTTGAGTTTTTACAATTTAGTTTGTAAATGAGGTCTGCTTGCTGGAGTGTTATTTTCTTACAATATGTAATGCTTTCTGGCATCATCTAAAAATAACTTTTCTAAAATACACTGTTTAAGATTGAGAAAATGACAAGTTTTAGCAATAAAACAACAAATATTATATTATAATATAACAATAAAAGTGAGTATCTGCATCACAGCCGAGTATCTTATGTGTTAGTATTCCTGTATCGATGTATTGTCTTCCTATTTGTGACTAAAGTGTAACTCTAACTGAAAGCCTTTTTGTGAGTGTGAGTGTTTGCTCTGATGGGATAGTGTTGGTAGCCATGGAGCCGACAGAGGAGGGGTGTTTGTTGACGAACAACATTCCAGTGTGCGCCTGATGTGTGTGTGTGATAAGCTCAGCACAGGTAAACACCATGCATCTATTTAAGGAGGATGATTCTACCCTGGACAGCTGATAGACAACATTCTTGAGCACTGGCTGTGTTGCCTGCAGTTTTCAGGAGAAACTCAGAGACTATTATTCTGCCTGCATACACAAAATAGGGCACATTATGTTAAAAAGATGCTTCTTCTTTTCCTGCAATGTTATAAAGATTCCCTGTTGTTTATTTAAAAAAAATTGTTTTCAAATTAGCTATTGTTTTATTGTTTTAATTGTTCATTGAGTGCATTTTTCACACTTACAAGTGAGCAGCCCATGTTGAGCAAAAGTTCACATCAACCAGCTACCTCCTTATTATCTTTAGGGAGACATGCGAATCCCATTTGTTCCTCTAGCTAGTCTAATACATTCCCCAGGACCTGACTTTCAACACCATTCATTGTGTTAAAAAGAAAAGATCAGATCAGACTTGTGAGAGGCATTGTTCAAATATATATAAATATTTTTGTTTTTCATTGTTGCCTTATCCATCACTTACATTCACACTTTACATTTTACAAATATATTCAATTTAATATTATTTTCCTTACGCACTTAATGTATATATAATATCCTGCTTTGTATTTAGTTTACTGTAAATTGGTATTTCAACATGTATATTTTCTACTTTTTTAATGCTATTTTATTTCTATTTGAGCTGTTTACATTTTGAATTGTTTATTTCTAGTCTTTTAATTTCTCTAATGTACAATGCCTTGTCTTTTTATGCTGCTGCAAACCATTTCCCAAATTGGGATCAATAAAGTACATCTCATCTTATCTTATTATTTGAAATGAAGGGATCCACCCTTCAAGGTTTTCCTGAGAAATAGTAAATAAATATTCAGTTACAACACTGCTTTGTAGTCAGGGTCACAGACTATTGTGATGTGGTTAACCCTCACTTGTGCATTACTTAAACCCTCAGCGTGCCCCAAAGTTCAGTAAACTATTCTTTAGCTATATGTGTTTGGAGAAGCAGCAGAGATAACCCTTTGGCTGTATGACCTGACAAACCTGCTTAACTGACTCCACCCAGCAGCAGCAAATTGTTACGTGACACAAGTTCACACAGGTTGGAAAAACTCTTGAAATGCTAGTTTTTAGACATTGTGTTCACTGATAAGAAAAACGTGTGATGAGGATGTTAGAATGATAACCTCTCAAAGTGACTAAATAACTGCATTGTGTGTTTTGATTGATTGGGTTAACCTGATGAGATTACAATTAACATTTGAAGGTAGATAAAGAGCAAAGCAAGTCATTTTAATGAAGGATATTCCAAAGAAGACACGATGCCCTCTTGATAGTTTACACCGGAGCAAATTAATATAACAAAAGTGAACAAGATCAGTGTTTTGCATTACTGCTCAGCAGCAGTTTGGCCAGCATGTTGTAAATCTGCACGGGACTGCAACATTCAGAATGTAAATTAAAAAGGCTGGGACATTTAGAATATGTGGCATCTGACTGTGTGTATCAGTGATACAGACTGACTGTTATTCTGTAAGTGAAGCCTGCCCTAACTAGACTGGGCACACACATTAACACTTAGAAAAACTGACTTCTGTCCCTTGCTTTGGTTAAATGTCTTTAGGGACTAACATACATGGACATAAGCTAATAATGAATTCTAATGATTCAATTACAGGATTAAGTTAATTCTTTGAGTTTTCATCAAGCAAAGAATATTTCCAATTGTCTTAAATGTTTTGATCATTTTCTCTCAGGACCAAAACAATTAATTGCAGCATGGTGGTTTAACATGTCCTGATAAAAGCAAAATTAAAACTCAGAATAAATGCATAAAAACACGTTACTGTTTGTGCTGCATTGCTATGCAGCCCAGTCAAACAGAGGCCACAATGTCCCAGTTGTCCAACACTTACATTAATATGATGACTGATTTCCTATTAGCATGATAACAATAGCATGTGAAAATATATTGTTAGCATTGACTTCACAAAGTAGTGCAAGGCTGATGAAAGTATGAACCGTGGCCTAAGAGACCCAACCTATAAACCCCAAACATGTTAGTGAGAACAAAACTCATTAGACCACATTTTGTTTCTTTGCCCATTTTGTCTCTCCTTTTCAATTCTGCCAAAGACTATAAATCTTGCCATCAACAACTGTGATAAAAAGATGGATCCCAAAAACTGTGAAGTCCCTCAAACTACCACAGTAAGGCCCCATCCACACGGAAACGAAAATGAAAACGAACCGATGTCGATATCAAAAAAGTCTTCCGTCCACACGGAATCGGCTCAAGAAACGTGTCCGTCCACACGAGACCGTTCGACCCGCTGGAAACGCTGTAATACATATGCCGGGCCTGTAAGTGGCGCTGTACTTCCGCCACAAAATACACCAAAAGCAGCGAATAAGACCCCTGAGCATGGTTGCCATGGTTGCCTGGTTGCCCTTCTGTTTATTCTCCGCGGTGGATTTAGCAACATGTAGTTCATGTAGTTCTCCATTTCCACTTGTTGCTGATGGTTGTGGTAGAGGAGCTGTAGATTTTGCACTAACATCTGTAGCATGGTCAGTAGCGTCTGGAGCACGAAAGCAACCCTGTGATCCGCCATTGTTGTTGTTGTTGGCGAAACACATCAGCAATGACGCAGTTGACGCGGGGGTGAGCAGCAGAGGTGGGGAGAGGCGGGGCTATGGCTTCATCGTTATCAGGAAATGATCGTATAGGGCGTACATACGGAGCCGTTTGGCCCCCCAGAGCGTTTCATCTGCAAATCTACACACCTTGGGAGCCGTTATCGTTATCGTTATCGTTATCGTAATCCGCGTTTCTGTGTCGGCCTCGTGTGGACGAACCGTCTATGCGGATACAACCCGTTTCGTCTCCGTGTGGACGGGGTCTAAGACTTCCATGAATCACAACTGACATCTTTGAGCAACACTTACTGTATTAATTCAACTATATTTGAAGAGTTGCTGTATGGTGGGGTATTGACAGTAACTACAGTAGGTCACACTGATACAGTTCCTGCAGCAGCTGTATGCTCAACTAAAGTGTTCGGGAGCTACAGTGACTATAATGGAAAGATCAGCAGCTCAACATGGAAGTGTTGGTGACATGTACAGTAGAAGCACTCAATGTGGATATGTAATCCATCTGCACACATACAGTAAATCACGTTGCAGGCCTTCAAGCGAGACTGCCACATACATTATCGTCAACTCAATTTGTGTACAAAAGCATCCGATTTACAATAAAACCTGCCAAAAAACACACCTTTCACTCAACTCAACAAGCAAAGTGAAGTTCAGAAGCATGTTATTGTCATTTGTGTTTCCTATAAAGGATTTGGGCAACACATGACACAACAAAGCATAGTTATTCTTCTATCTGATTATGCATATGGCTTACCCAAGAGTTGGACACAATGTGTGCTCACAACTCATGCAGTGCAGGCTGGCGGGGGGGGCGTTGATACATGTACAGGCTTTCTTTCTCCTTTTCCCCTGGGGGAGACACATACAATGAAAACTATTCTCTAGCTTCATGATTTTAATGAATTCAGGAAAGTTGAAGCATGGAAGAGTGGCAGTTTTGTGGGTGTTTTCTTTTTCATTTGGTTTGGTTTCTCTTACAAATGCAATTGCAATTGGCTGCTGGCTGGGTTTATGGTTTGTATGTTACAAAACTGACTCTAAAAGTAGAGAAAGGAGGGTACAACAGAAATGTTGGAGCATGTGGGGCTGTTGCCATGTGCTCGAGTAAGAAACTGATCAAGAGAAGGGGGTGTGGCACTCAGCAAGCTGCACGGACCACTCTCTTTCTCCCTCTGTCTCTGCGCTGATGGAGTGGTTGCATAACATCCAGCCAGCGTAGCTCCACTCTGATTCAATCATCTCTGAGCAGCCGTGCACGTGCGTGTGTTTTAGGTGGGGGGGTGTGTCTCTACACGCCCCCGATCTTTCATCCCAGTTCTCCCATAGGTTACATGCAAAGGTACCAGATAGACGGGGGCTCTATAAAGACCCGCTTTGTTCCTTGGCTCTCTCTGCTCCTGTTTTTATTTCTCCGGTCTTTCTTGTTTCCATCACCACTCATCGCCAAAATGCCCAGCAAGAGGAAGAAGAATAAGCGTCGCATGAGGCGGACAGTAAGTGATGCTAGACGGCCTTTCTTTCCACTTCAATGTTGTTCTCATCACGACCAATTACATTTTGTTTATTTAGAACTTATATCAGTTAGTGTGGCCCTTCTTTACGTGAAAACATATTTGACGCGCGCACGTGCACTGCTGCGGCAATCACTGTACTTTTGTTCAGTTTGTGATTGGAGTGATGGGTGAAATGATGTGCGTCTTTACCCTAAAATGCAAAACCTGATTTTAAAAAGTGACGAAAAAAAGCACGTGTCCACTACCAATGCAAAACCTTTTAAATTAGCCTTTTGATTTGAAACAAATCGAAATCTCAATTTAAAAGTGACAAAAATGGACACGATGTTTTTCTTTTTTACTTTGTTTGTTTTTTTTCTTTCTTGAGTGACTCCAATTAGGCATAGTGCGTTCAATTCCGCCTAGATCGAAAACCTTTCCACAAATGCACTCAAATTAATACTTTCAAAACGTAATTGATTTTAGTTGGATTAATTACATCTGGCATTTGTGCAAGAGACAAAGAAAATGGTTCATGTGGATTCCCGAGCGCCACGTGCGGTATCAGCGTGCTCTATGGACACAATTTATAAAGTGCTGGGATTTATATTTCCCATCTTTACACCTCTATGGTCATCAAAGCTGTATAAGCCCACATTATTACAAGTATACAAAAATATATTTGTTCTATCTGCCAGCAAAGCATAAAGTAGCCCCCCCCCCCCCCCCCCCCCCCCCCCCATAATGCACAAACAGGTACACACTGTTCAGTACATGCAGCACTCACGGTCTTATCAAACGGCTATGCATAATGTATGAATCATCATCATCATCATCATCATCATAATACATTATTACGAAGCAGTTGGCCAATAGCATGCTTATTTAAAAATCAGACTTCTAACCCCCTCCCCACTCTTTCGTAACTGCCAGACATTTTACTTCTGAACATTCAGTGCCCAAAGAGGAGTGGGTGTGGCGAAGGGGTGTGTGGGAGTGATGTATAACTAGCGATGTATAACTAGCAAGAAAGTAACAGATGCTTGCAATTCTCAGAGGGCAAAGGTTACTCAGTCACTGAACACGGTCATCTTTTTCCCAATCACAATGATTAATTGTTTTAACCTGTGCTCTTTAACCTAATTTACAACTTTAAAATCATAACTTGCTTCACCACTAAAGGGTTGTAGGTATGGAGTTTCTCAGCGCCTCCCCCTCAAACTCTCTTGCTGACTCTAGGCCCCACACAACTGTATTTGGTAGTGTGTTGACTGGAGGAATGTCTTGCATTTGTTTTGCCAGCGCCTGCACAAACTCTAGTTCTCCGAGTGACACTAGGATAACAACGGGCCCCTAAAGCCCCTTACAGCTGGATGTTATCAGCAATTCCCTCTTGAAAGCTAAAAAGTGCTGCTTGAAGATGTAAAGCTACATTTGTCTCACACATTCCTAAGCATTTTCAATCACACGTGGCAAGGCCTTATTGTTGATGTAGTAGTGAAGATTTTGCCAGCTATTTGTTGGAGGTAAGGGAGGGGTTGTTTTGATGGTGCATAGCTTGACGGGTATAGACTATGAACTGACTGGAAGTCTATAACAAAAGCATTTTCAGGGAGTGATTGTAACCTGATTATAACCTTATTATGAAGTGATTAGGCCCACTGTCTGGCGTGCGGGGCACACATCAGTGCTGCTGACTCTCACTGTTTCTGTTCCCGCTTCACCAGACCTGTCAGAATGGCTTTGATTCAACTAATGAACTCCCATTATCCAAGTAGCTTTGATGGTCCCTCTCCCTGAAACCCAGCCCCTCCCTCTAGTGGTTGGGCCCCTAAAATCTTCTTTAAACCCTGGGGGGGTTTTGTTCCAAGCTGAAAAAACATGTTGGATGGCATGCCTGGTATTCCTGCAGACCAAAATGTGCTGAAATGCTCTGCAAAACGACAACAACAGTATCTAAACGCAACAAGATCCTCAAATAATTCCATCCCATTTGCCTCAATTCACCTTCTTTTTTTTTTAAGAAAATGTAAGAATTTAAACTTGAGTTGTTTGAGATAGATATTGCTTTACCTCGAAGTACTTTATTTATATTAACTACCTTGTAAAATGCCACTTGAATGCATGAAAATGATATGGTGGTTTCCACTGTATTGAAAAGACAACCATCACAATTACAGCAGGCCCAGAGGAGAATCCTTGAAGAGCAGCATGCGGCCAACCCACCAGCCAAAGGGACTCCTGGGATTGCAGTTGGTGCGCCCCCTACAGCCGTCCCAAAGAAGGCGGCTAAAGCACCAGTTAGAGAACTGGCTAGAGCTCCAGTGAAGATCCCAGAGGTTGTTCCAATTGCAGTCCCTATTGTGGAAGCCCCCATAGTAGAACCAGTTGTGAAAGAGCCCGAGCCTGTTGCAGTGGTGAAGCCCGAGCCCGTTGCAGTGGTGGAGCCTGAACCAGAGCCTGTTGCAGTGGTGGAGCCAGAACCAGAGCCCGTTGCAGTTGTGGAGCCTGAGGCCGTTGTGGAGCCTGAGCCAGAGCCCATTGAAGTAGCTGAGCCTGAGGCCGTGCCAGAACCAGAGCCTGTGGTGGAAGAAGCTCCAGCAGAAGTTGAGGTTGAAGCCCTGGTCGTTGAAGAAGCTCCAGTTGTTGAGACCCCAGCAGAGGAGCCTGCTGAAGTTGAGGCTGCGATAGAGCAAGAGGCTGAACCTATCATTCCTGAAACAGAACCAATAACAGAGGTAAGAACTGCTTTGGTTCATACACATGAAGACACTTGACTGTATCATTTGATAAGGGGTGTACCAGTGGATTTGTATAGTGGTTAATCCTCCATAGTTGACAAATGAGTACCTGAGGCACTTGTAATATGGTAATGGCTTAAGTAGAGATGTGGCGACTCTTCAAAGGCCTTATAATACATCCTGTACATTTTAATGGCAGCCTTGGTTATCTTTTGATAGGCTTTCTGTGTAGTGCCATACTTTTTGGCTATCAACAAAAACCGCCAGCAAGCTGTAACCATAGTAACTTCTGACACTTGTTGTGATGAAATCCATGTGCTTCTCTAGACATTTACTTTGTCCAACCAATGTATAAATGGCTACAAACTCTGAATGTTGCATGGTCTTCAAGTTATTTCCACACATTGTGGATCTTAAAGTCTGCTATTTTGGTTTTGTGGAAGAAATCTAAACGGTGTATATGCTGTGGCTCGGCTCTTATAGGAGAAGGGGGGGGTGGGGCTGGTGGGGGGTTAGAGGCAAAGGGAACAACGTGTTCCATTTAGCAAAGAGGTGGGAAGTATGGGAGGGATTGTAGGCTACATCACTGGAGAGTGGGCAGAGCCATTTCAGCAGTCATTATACATTATCTCCTACATTAAAACATGCCTGTGTCATGAAGCACATGGCTTTGATTAAAATGAAACTGCTTTTTTAATAGGCTGGTAGGACTTTAATGGAGAGTTTGTTCTCTAAAATATTGGATTATTTAATTTTGCTGCGAGAAGTGTTTGAAATGTTAATTTGCTGGAATGAACGAGATGGCTTTTTTTTTTAATATAGGCGATCAAGAGAGTTGGTTGAGTTTTAAAGTAAAAGTTGGTAGAAGAACTGAAGCTTGCTTTCTACTGTATTACAATAATTGCTGTTTGGCTAGCTTGCACAGTTGTAGCCTATAACTAAACATGTTTCCCAACATTTTTTTTACCCTCCAACTCTTTACATTAATGTTTGCATTGCAATTTCAACACATTATCTTTGTTTCTTCACATGGCTAACATGTGCACATTTTGGGAACATAATGTTCTGTTTCAGCCAGTACACTGCAGGCAATGCGTCGTGGCACATACAGGCGGCATACTGCACATGCATGTGTCTAACTACACACAGTTGCGCATGTAGGCACACACGCACAGCATTTGTGCACTTTGCTCTCTGTAACTGAGCCATGTCCACATATGGAGCACATGCATGTGTTTGCATGAACGACACTGCCCAGTTAGGAGACAGGAGGTGTAAATCAGTGACGTGGCCTTTTGCTAGAAATTAGTACGTTTACATAGGGTGCAGTGTTTACTTTGCTATAGAATGTCACTCAAGCTTGCGTGTTATGCCCTACCCTCTGAGCTATGCAGGACCAATGGATGTTTCTTGCTCGCCGTCATTGTATAGTTGTTTGGTCCACCCCCTCCTTTGTTCCTACATCCCTCCTTCTCTCCCTCCCACAACATCATCCATCACTCCTTAGCTCCCCTCTTGCCTTGCTGCTTCTCTGCTCCTTCACTGCCTGCAGATGTGCCAGATACAATTTAGATGCTCACATATACGTACAGGCTCTATTGCACTTTGGCAAACTTGACATTTATTCAGTGCTGGCTTTAAATGCAACTCATACAGTAGTCCTTTATATGGTGTTGGGTGTATCGTGTTTTTATGAACTTTAATCAATAATCTTGACACGAGTGGTTACTCTGACACTGTCCGACTAGAGTTGGTCTCCACTTGGGTCAATAGACAGTAGAATCAGAGCAGGCAAAAATGGGGCTTGTATTCAGCTGGCTTTGGGACAAGAGAGAGGAGTCTCCTCCGCTTCTGGTTGTCACCACGGAGACTCAGGTGAGTTTAAACCCCCCCACCCAATATAAAGTCCTGCTTAGTGTTACATGTTATACAATTGTTTGTGTCCTGAGGCAGCGGGTGCGGCTCGTGTTGAGACTGAACATTGTGTACCCGTTTGCTCCCTCGGTGCTCCTGCAGACCTCGACCCCTCCCCCTTCAGTCCCTCACTCATTTCCCTCCCTTGTATATTCATTCTCCCTCATCACTCTTCTTCCCTCCCACCACTTGCTCCTCTGTCTCTCCTTTCACCCTACTCTGGCCTCCCCCTTTCACTTCTGTCTTCGGCCAACCCCTATGGGGCCTATGGGTATTTAATAGCTTATCTTCTTAGCACATGTGCTTGTTCCGCCATGTGTCTCCCTCTTATCATTGGGTTTTTGTCGGGAGGGGGGGGGGGGGGCGAGCGATATTATGTACCTGTTGAGGTTTGTGTAGTTTTGCAAGACGGCTGTCAACTTTATTTATTTTTATAAGATTTATGTAACAAACGTCTATGATGGTGATTTGGGGTACATTTGCTCATAACATCCAATGAAGAGCATGCTTTAAAACGATGAGCATATTTATAAAGGTTGGTGACATGATGTTTGAGGTGTTCTCAGACTTGGTTGGAAAAATATCACCTTGTGGCCACGCACATGGGCCGCTGCCCCATCCCCCCCACCTTCCCACCTAGTGTCCACCCTCTTTCCTTACACAGCACACATTGGGCCTTGCCCACATTTCCTGGCAACTTTTTAGGAGTGTTTTTGGGGGCTCAATAGGTCTTTGTTTAATGCAAAAATCCAAACGCCTCCCTGTTTTGGTTTTAAATTGTGCTTGCTTTATGTTGAGCTTTGTAAAATAGTTTCCCTAAACTCTTGATTCCTGAAAAGGCCAAACGGTTTTCTTATTGCATTTAGCTCATTACATTCCAGATAAAGTTTACCATCTGGATAAAAATGGTCAGTTTCTAGATAAGCTTTGTTGTTGGCTGGAATTGCTTTTCAGTAGGACTGGTGAGGCAGGATCTGCGTTCAGACCAGTTTGTACAAAGTGTTCTGGTGCTTGGACAGCCTGGAGGGGGTGTGTATTCTATACTGTGTGCACGCCTGTTTTCCTGTTAAGCAATAGAAGGCCTATAGTCCACCCCCCTCCCTCCTGCCCTTCCCTCCTCCTTTCTCTCCCCTATACCGTGCCTCAGAGGCTTTAGCTGGAGTATATATTTACCCTAAACCATACATGCATTTCTGCCCACTTGGCTTTTGTTCAGTAGGTTGTGTAAATCTTGGCAAACAGGATTCATCACCTTTCAGTAGCAAAGAGAGGTGGAGATGGTCAACTAACTCACCGTAACCACAAGCATTTTAAGTCTCCTGTGACTTTTCACTCCGTTTGCACTGTAGCATAAACTTTAGATGAATTTGAATGATTGGTCTTATTTTGCCTAGCACCAGACTTGCCCCACATTGTAGAGTGGCTGATACAAGACTTTGTAAATAATTTACTGTTGACTACGAAGTTTTACATTATTTATGTGCTGCTCACTATAGCTCTCCCTATTGGCTGCACATTGGGGGCCGCCAGTGACCATTTATGGCGCATTTCCACCATGGCGCGGAGCGCGGTTTAAGCGTGCCGTGTCGTGCCGGGCCCGTTTTTGGTTGCGTTTCCACTATGCCTAGTTCTGGCCCGGGGCTACTTTTTCACCTTTTTTCTGGCCCGACAAAATCGTGGTTCTATCGGGGCCAACAAACAGGGCTGAGTCGGGCTGAGTTTGCTAAACTAGAGAGAATCGCTGGCAAGGGGGCTACAACTACAACAAAATGAACATATTTTACCGTGATTGAATTGTAATACACGTTTCAAAATGATGCCGAAGTAACAACATACTGATACCGGTTAGTAAAAACCATGAATTAATGCTTTGACAAGTCTGCAGACAGACGGCAGGCGAAAAACCTTTTAAAATGCGTGTTTTCTAAATGGAGATCGGCTAAGCTAACGCAGTATATGCTCCGACCGTCCACACTCACAACAACGGCCTATACAGACATAAATAAACCAGCGACTGTACTCGCCATGACACAGGCAGTCTGTGGTAGGGCTGCTCGATTATGGCAAAAATCATAATCTCGATTATTTTGGTCAATAATTGATATCACGATTATTAAAAACGATTATCCATTTAAAATTTGAACAGTTGATTACCCTGAACTTTAAGTATAATTCAACTGAAAAACCAAAAAAAATAATAGTTTTATTTCGTTTTCGTAATCGTTGCAAGCCGTAATTGCGATTAAAATACGATTAATTGAGCAGCCCTAGTCTGTGGTTTGTACTTTAACTTTTGTCTAGTTTCTGAACAGATATGAGGAGCTGTGAGCTTGAGTGCTAACAGCTAACGGCTGATGTTGTTTTTCTGGGTTACTCATTGAAGATGACGTCACGGCTCCGCCTACACTGGGTTACCATAGATACTACTAATTTATAAAACCTATGTTTAGTGTTCCTCTCCTGACATAAAGCCAACACGCAGCATTCTTTAAAAAAGAAAGTGTGCATTGTATCTTATAGTAAACTTTTACCTTTTTGTAAACTGTGAACCTTCTAAGAATGTCACTGGGTTTACTGTTAATCCTCGAGGCGAATACAGCTACAGTTTGGCTTACAGTTTTGTGAATCCTTTTGCTTGAGGCACATTTTTAGAACTCATATGCCTCTAAGTGTGACGTTAACTGTTGTGGGGGAAAAAGGAGTAATGGAAGCAGTTTAACAGGCAAATGTATTTAATTACCTCTTAATTCTGGTTGATGTGCTTTTATTTTGTATTTATACTTCTGCCCCTCAACATGTTTTCATTGGATACAAATGAATATCTTTATGATGGTGTAGCTGACTTGTAAGTAAACGTTCTCCTTTTTCTTTCGTAGGATGTAGCAGCCCCTGTTGAGACCGAGGTAAGAACTAATTTGCATTTGATACACATGACCCCCCCCACCCCCCCTCTTGCAAAATATTGGTATTAGCCGGAGGCAGATTTCACAAGTGTGAACGAGTATGTTGATCATAGCTTAACATGACTAATTTCAAGTAAGACCTGCTTTAGTTTTTGATGAGTTGGTGTTTTTTACGACATCTGAAAATGCCACATTGGGTCATGTTATAAGGTAAAACTAATAGGTCAATCAGGTTAGGCATGCAGACCCTATACAAAGCATAATGCCGTTCAGAAAGGGCACCTGCCTGAATCCAAGTTTTTCTTTTGTTATCCAAAAAACATACATAACACCACAGTAACTCAGTTTGCATGCTACGTTCAATGGGAGTGTCAAATATTTCTAACTTCACAACTTACAAAAGGCCCCCACACTTGCCTTGTACTTTTTTTTTTTTGGTGGTAGAAAACTTTAAGAAACACAGGCTTATGTTCAGAAAGAAAGGATTACACTTTTATTTCATCAACACCTCACACTACTTTTGATGCCCAATACTGACCAAAGAGGAAAACTTAAAGTTGTAGGTAATGGGCATTTATTGTGCTGCAATTGGTGGGCAGGTTGCTTAAACGGTTTTATTTTAGTTTGTAGTGAAGATAATTGTCAAATATTTTCTATCAATTATGTTTAGCAGATAACCAGCCCTTGTCTTAAAGTGTTTTTATTTCTTATTCTCCAGATTCTGACAGAGGAGGCTACAACTGTAACCACAGCAACTGAACTGGTAAGCACTTTGACAGAAAGTCTTGTCACTATAGTTACATCATTACCAACTATGTAGTCTTGTTCATGCATATAGGTAATCATTCCATCACATATCATTGCCCCGATAGATAGTCAGTGACTCTTACGAACTAAGTGTTACCATTCGTTCATCTGTGTGCATGTTGCATGGTGTTTCATAATGTATGCCGTGTTGACTTTGCATGTCCAGACACTTGATGTCTGCGAGACAGTGACTGAAGTGATGGCAGAGGCCTTGGCAGAGGAAGAAGCAGTCGCCATTACTGAAGCTGCTGAAGAGCCATTGGTAGAAGATCTTGTCAGTGAGCCGGTTGCTGCTGAACCCGCTGTAGAGGAGGCCGTTGCGGAAACCGTGGTGGAGGTTGTCGCAGAAGCAGTGGTTGAAGAGGTTGCCACAGAGGTACCAGAACAGGAGGATGAAGCTGAAATCGAAGTGTTGGCTGAAGAATCACCTGAAGTCTCCGCTGAGTCTGTTGCTATCACAGAGGTGCCAGTTCGATTAAAAAAACGATATTTTTTCCCTTTTCTTGAACTTTTTCTTATTTCCCTTCCAAGAACAAAAAACAATGTCCTTTGACTTTTATATAGTTTGTATTTTGTGATTGTATGTTGCATGTGGTTTGAACAGTTGTGCTTCTTGTGGAAGTTCCCATCCAATCATTTTCATTATTTCACTAGATGCTTTCCTTTCATAAATACTAAACCTTGATTAAGAAGAACTTCATCTAACTTTGTTTGCTGGCATGTTCCTTTTACTTTCATAATGCAACTTAACAACAAAGACTGATTTGCTGTGTCCTGTTATCTTTCAGGATGTTGCTGCCCCATCTGAGGAAATCCCAGTGGTGAGTGTTCTCTCTTTGGACCTAATCAATGTGTTTTCTTTTGGCAATATTTCCAAAAGTAGCAATTTTACTTGGGGCCCCACATGCTTATGGTGTTCTGGATATTGACATGGCAGTATATGTTGTCTCACCAGGAGCCAGAAATCGTCCCTGAGGCTCCAGTAGAAGAGGCTGAAGCCCCTGTAACTGAAGTCAAGGAGGTAAACCCTGAACTTGTAAACAATTGGGAACTGCATGTCATGTGATCATTTAGGATTTGCTGCATTCTACCTTTAAATCACCCTGAAATACAAATTTGGTTTATGTCAGTATTAGGACATTTCTATTGATGCCAATGCACTCTGCTTTCAAGCCATTTAAAACAAACCTAGTTCATAGCCACTTGCCGTTTTCTCCTGGGATGTGTGCTTATTAGTTCTCATTTACATTCTTTAACCTTGCCTGTGGAATATCTTTAAATGTTCTCACCTTGTTCCCTTATGTTTCTCCAGGTCCTTGCTGAGTGCCTGGTCGATGACTTTGTTGTCACAGAATCTGTCGCTGCCGTGGAGGTCGCCATCGCTGAGTCTGCTGCTGTCCATGCGGTGAGAGCATCTAAAATGTTGTTCTTTGACATTGAAATTAGTTCTGGATAAAGCCCCCACTAAAAATAGACCGTCTTCCCAGCAATGCAAACCTGCTGTTAAAAGTGTTTTTTGCATAATACATGTGCTACTTGTATGCTCTGCTTTAACGGGCATCTCCGTTTGCTTTATTTAGGAAGTTGTGGAAGTTATCGACACCCCCTCAGAAGCAGAACTAACACCTGCTGAGCCTGCTGCAGCCCCCGCAGAGGAGATGATCATTGTGAGTTAATATAAAGCTTGGAAATTGTACAAACTTGTATGACTATAATGTAAAACACCACCATTATTGCTAATATTATAAAAAGAATGTCGCACTGTTTGGTTTTTATTAACCGGCCCCACCCTTGTCTTTCCAGGAAGCCGTTCCTGAGCAGACTTGTGTGGATGTGCTGTCAGAACTCAAAACTGAAATTTGCGACATACCATGCCAGATGCAGTCTGTGCAGATCAGCTCAATGGTAAGAAGCAAAGCATGACAAATGTCTACAGTAATTATCAAATATATAATATTGGAGATTCACTGTGCACTCGACTGATCTAATGTCTTATTTTCTGTTCAGGAGATGTTAGTGGAGCCAACGTTGAACGGACACATTGTTCCAGAGCTCTCCATCGAGGGCTAGATCCACATTACACAGCTTGGAAGACCTTTTCTGTCTTTGTAAGTATCTAACACATTGAACATCTCACTTGAATAACTGTTTCAAGCAGCAGCAGCAAACTGACTCCTATCCTTTGTCTTTTACAGATTCCCCATTGGCCATTCGGAGTACTCAAAGCTTTACAGCTGACGTGTTAATTTTTTTTTAGGGGTTTACTCCACGCATTTGAAGGGACATCCACACTTTGAAGTGCCTTTCCGGCCCTGGTTTTTATCAAAACACCAAACCAGATGTCACTGAGCCAAAACCAGCTGCATTCAAGGCAGCACAACAGACTTGTCATAAATGTGCAGAAATGGAAACAAACATATTGTGACTCCTTATCTGTAGTATTCCCCAACAACCCTGAATTTGCATTAGCAGTGGAAGCAGGAGTGCTTGAGAGATGACGATTCCTAAATCGATATAACTGGCAGTGCCTGATATCTGGGCATGTTCCTCTCTCCAGCACGTCTGCGTCTATACAGCATAACCAATGCATGTGAAACCTGTAACGATGATGAATGTGGCTATAGTTGTACTGGGGCCTGTTCATGTGGAATGGAAAACTTCACATTTTCGAGAGGTCTTTTTTTACCATCAAACTTTCCCCAGCCTTAATTTCTGTCCTCCAGTTCTCTCTGCCGAAACTAAGTGCCGAATCTATCCTAGAGCGGGAGTTTTTGGTTGCATGGCCACTGGAAAAAGACAGTTTGGGGGGCAGGGGTGAGCTGAGAGGCCATGCCCTTCCCCTTTTCCTTCACTTTTTTAAATCCATTTTGTATAGACCCTATGATGTGCTACAGTTTTGTTCAAAGTCTGTGCTCTGGAAAGGAAACGTATTGTGATCTGGTGATTTGATTGATGTGATGATGTTGGTCCACGTTTGAAATAAAGCTGTAACTCATTGTGAAGCAGGAGTACTTGTTGTTCTTTCTATACACTATCACTCACACAACATATCAGGAGAAATAGTTTGCATTTAATTGCGTTAGGGACATGACTAGTAAATGTGAAATACAGTATATTCTCTCAATTTTCTATCAATTCTGTACTGGCAATATCAGATTTTTAGAAATGCAACATGTAAAGAATAGTGTGGCTATGTTTTTTTTCTTTGGAGATAAAAATGGTAATTTTTAATCGGTAACAATTTACTTGATACAAGTCTTTGCTTAATATTGTAGGGACTCGTTTAATTTCTCGACTTCCCCCTCCGGTAGTCGGCTACTTTAGAAAGTCTGTTTTAAATATCCTTCGTCATAGAATTTCAAATTGCCTTGTGATGTGGCCATTTGAATTATTCTTAATGAGAAACGCAGCTTTATAAACTCAACTAACATTAAAGGTCCCCTATTATACTGTTTTTCATCAATATATTATAGGTCTCAGTTATATACAAAACATGTCTCTGAAGTGTTTGGCTCCAAATACCAAACGGATCATTGTAGCGTCCCATAAACCTCTCTGTTTCAGCCCCGTTTCAAAAGTGCTGATTCTCTGTCTTTTACTTTAGATGAAAATAAACGTTTCAAGAACCAGTAAAAAGCTAAAGTAAATCCAGGAGCGAATTCGCAGACAGTAAAACTGACCGTGGAAAACACGATCATGCAAATAAGAAAAAACAGGAATCTATGGTGACTAAACGGAAACCTGTAGATAACGAGAAGCCAACGATTAACCCTTTAACTGCCAGCGCCACCATTTGGTAGAGTACATTTTGTGTCTTGATATCTTGTTGAAAAAAATAAAGTGTAACTCCATCTGATTCAGCCAGCTCTACCCTTTGGTTGACATGTTATGCACAAAACAACCTCTAGATTTGTCACTGTGGTTCGAACAGAATGCCCTTCAGCTAGCTTCCACTGAGAAAGTTGGCATGCTAAAAAATCACTGCTGAAGAAATCACTCTTTTTGGTCAACTTTTGTAAGGTAACCATATCCTTTTTGACATATTTTAGTGTCAGAGCACTTACTGAACATATTTAGATAACTTGATGCACAAAAAAAGTTTTAATAATGGTGTAATTATCTTTTTGAAAATATGCTCAACCAACCGGTCGAATTGGCTTTTTATGGTAAACTAGCAATATTACTTTTTCAGAGTTTCAGAGATGTTTTCCAATAAAATATGGTAAATAAATGGCTAGATTCATGGTAATATTACTACATCTAGTACTGCCTTATGAGTCTCAGAGTGAAAGAGTGATAATTTATATAGCCCCTTTCATGCATGGCATTCAGCCCAAAGTTGCACACAGATGAGCAAGTTAGGCCAACACAGGATATAGACATTTGCTGTTAGGCCAGTGGTTTCTTGTTAGGCCAATTCAGCATATACAGTAAGATGAGCAAGTCTTTTTTTTATTATGAAAAAGACTTAACTTAACTTTTTTCCAAAAAAAATGGTTTACAATTATAATTTATTATCTTTTATGAATATATCTGGTTGTATATATTGCTCATTTTCCATAAAAGAAACAAATGTATTTCAGTTTGTGTTTTATTTGAGTTTGATGCATACAAATACTGTACTGTATATGATGATTGTTGAAAATGCACTTTTACCATAAAAGGCCAGCTCGACCAGTTGGTAGAGGCTCATAAAAACAAAACTGTGTGGTCAGTCAAAAAAATTAAAATTGTTTGTGGTTATTTGATAAAAAAATGCAAACAAATCATTTTTCTTTTTATCTTGGTCTGGCAGTTAAAGGGTTAAAGAATCCAAAGGGCCACAAATGAAAGTCCAGAAGCAAGAGGAAAGTTCCCAAGAGGCTTTGCAGTCTGTAGGAGGGAGAATAAAGTAATCCTCTTCCAGGGAGAAAGCACAGTCTGATCTCAGAAAGCTCCCGTCTTGTGAAGACCTCATGGAGTGGGTGAAGGAGGTCCTCTGCACGACATCCCCATCGACCCAATGGGCTGACCTGGACCTCGATTGTCTTCTGGACACGGTGAAGAAAGAAAACGTCCAAAAAGCCACGGAGGAAAAGAGGATTGAGATCCCTCGGATGGAGAACATGGTGGCAAACAAGAAGAAAAGGGACTCGTACGTATGCTTCGGATCAAGACCAAGACTGGTTTCCTGAGCAGACCAATTAACAAAGTTAGCCTTCTTCAGGAGGCAGAGGACTTTTTCCAAGTCTAAACGGACTATTTTTGTCTTTATTTTAATTTGTTTGTCTCCTGCCCCCTGCACACACACAAACCACACTAAGCATTTTTACTGATACTGATTAGTGAGTAAAGATCACTTTTCCAAAAAAACTGCAATATATGAACTCTGAACAAAAATAATTCAAGAAAGAGATCTGGACGTATATTGTGTGTATTGTCATTTATTATAGTGTAATTATAATTTTGTGAAATGATAATTAGGGGCCGGTATTGTAGGTGCCATAATGCTACTTAGCCCAAGTTCATTATTTGTATTATTATTATTTGTTTACGTCACTTTTATTTGTTTGTTGAGCACTTCCGGTAATTGTCACATGGGTGTGGTTTGTCTATAGAGAGGCGAAGTCCCTCCCCTTCCGGTTGAGCTCCATGGGACCTTATTTCGGAAAAGTTATGCATTAGCCGCGTTCACACCGGAGTACTTTTCACCGTACTTTTCGCGTTTAGTTCCGTTAGTACCCCTTATGTCGCGTTCACACCAAAAAGAGCACTTAATCCCGGGAACTTTTACCCCCATTTTTAGTGCCTGCTGAGAGATGGTACTTTCCTGGGGGAAAAAAGTGCCCGAGTTCTGATTGGCTGGGCGAATTGCAAACCACGCCCCGAACAACTCTGAAATGTTTTGTAGAGCCGCCATTTTATTATCCTGGCATTAGCATTATTAGCATTAGCATTCGCCCAGTGCACAAACGGAGAGAGACTAACTTATGGCAACACAAAATAAAACATGGGAGCGGTGGAGATGAGGAGGTGTCGGCGTTCTGGCGATTTACTCGGAAGGCTTCAGTAGACGCTGCTGGGAGTCCCATGCAGCTTCTACTGAAGCCAGTCCCCAACTCCGGGGACTTCCGGCCGGGGACTCCGGGTGGCAGTATACGCCGTGAAGTTGTTTGCGGCCTGCCAGTAAACCCAAAGCAGAAGAAGACGAAGTGACGTCAGCGGCTCATTTGCGTAATCTTCCCTCAGGGAAAAGTACTCTGGTGTGAACGCGATCTGTACTAAATGCCCTGGGGTAATAAGTGCCAGGGCACTGAGTGCCGGCACTAAATACGGCAAAGTACTTGGTGTGAACGCGCCTATTGAAGTCAATGGAGAGAGAAAGATTATCTTTCGATCCCGTTTGAATTGTGCCACGAATTACACATATGATGTTTGTCAATTTAAAAGATAATTTTACAAGTCAAAAAAAAAAAAATGTGTCGTAAAACTGTGAAGTAACACTTTTTTTTGTGTGAACCGCTCAATGACCTACATCTCCCGTCTCGCACCACACACCAAGACGGCCGTCACGTTGGCACATTTCACTTCTTTCTTTCAGAATGAGGCGAAAAGTATTAAAAGAGGTGAAAATCACTACAAGTCTGGGCATGTTGAGAGCTGTACATACACAAAAGGGGAGTTAGTCGGTTCGTAAGAGCCAGCATGCAGGACCGGGATTCTGGGATTTGTAGTCTTTCTAGTTGCGTATTTTTCATAGTCTTATATTTCAACAGTTTTACGACAAACTGTGACTTTTTTGACATGGAAATTATTATTTAAGATTGACAAACATCATATGTGTAATTCGTGGCACAATTCAAACGGGATCGAAAGATAATCTTTCTCTCTCCATTGACTTCAATGCATAATTTTTCCGAAATAAGGTCCCATGGGTCGGAAGTAGATGGGCGGGACTTCGCCTCTCTATATAAGTCACCTGTTTCATGTTGAGTGTGGATGACAGAGGGTGAGCTTGTGCTGTCATTTTTTCTGTTGACCGTTTTGTTCATAGCTATGTTATGATTTTGTTTATTAAATATCCTAAAACTATCTTGCTTCAGTATGGACTTTCTCTTTGAAAATGCGTCACAGTTTATAGCCAAGTTTAGTCTCTCTGCGACTCAAACGTAACTGGGGATTGAGCCGCCACAACAGGTATACGATCCTAAGTTACAAAAAGATGAGGTTATCATGAGGTTGTTAACATCGCAATTTATCAGTGGATGTTTGCTGGAACTACTTGTAAACAGCGTGTTTCCTGACAGACACACAGGGTAATTTATTTAGTTTAAAAAAAATTATCCGCTGATTTATAGACGTCTCTTTCCCAATGTTAGTCAATGGGAAAAAGTCTTTCTGGGCCCAGTGACGTCACGGACTGATACGGAAATTGTAGTACCGCCGTTAGGACACAACGAATATTTTCCTCAGAGTCCGGCGCACTTCCTGGGGGCTTGGGTAGTGACCGGTCTCAAGTCAGCACCGATGCAGACTCGCTGTTTGAGGGCTTGATAACCCACTCCCCCTCCACACTCGTTGGTTTGGAACAGCACTTAATGTGGCGGACCCTCCGCGCGAACGCGCAAACGGAGGGGTAGTGTGTAGGGGTAGGGTGTAGGGCGTGGTTTGGGATTGGGCCTTAGACTTACAAAACTCACAACCCATTAAAAAAAATTATAATTTTGAAGTTTATGCACTATTGATAAACTTGGTTACACCTCACATTGATAGCATCCATTTAGCAGGCCCAGTTTCAAAGTTAAGATCAAGCATATAGTAACATGAGGATTAGTGAGGATTCTGAAGTGCAATGGTCAGTACCTTTAGCACACTGATGGCTAGGTTTCTACCAGTATATGCAGCATATAAATCGGCTATTTCTTATTAGTGATGGGAATTACGGCTCTTTGAAGGGAGCCGGATCTTATGGCTCCGTTCCTTTCCGAGAGCTGTTCAAAAAATAAGTTTTTTTGTAGGGGGG